GGGCTGGGAATAGAAATCAGTGGTAGGGTAGTTTGAAGTCCTGGGGTTGGTGGAAGGAAGAAAACCAGAATTCCAGTAGCAAGTGCAGGGCTTTTCTATGTTTGGGCCCGGTACACTATCTGAGTCACATGTCCATGAACCTAGCTGTGACAGAGGAGATAGCTTACATCCCAAGGAATTGCCAAGGATTTAATTTTCGAGTAGAGCGGTCAGAAGTATTCTTGGCCACACAGATATCTGTAAGGCCAACAAATATGAAACCTTGCACTCCTAGGGTCTCATGAGCCGCAGGACAAGGGCCAACAAATGCGGAACCCCTGGGCCTATCTTTCTGGCTTTCATCATGGTGACAGGGTGTGGAGATGAGATAGCCTAGGTCTAAGGGAACTTGCAGAAAAGTTGTGTGGCTTCCAAGTCCCCGGCAATCTGGGGCATGGTGGCCTGGTCCATTTTGCCTCCACCCCCACCAGGGCCTGCCCAAATCCATCTCTGTCCAGCACGCAGCATGGAGTCTACAGCCCAAGGCAAGGCAGCCAAGGTAAACAGAGAGGTTCCCTCACCTCGCCCAGGAGGGAATTCCCAGGGAAGCCCAGCATGCCTCTCTCTGGCTCCAAGGTAGCAGCTGCCAAGATGCCCCAGGGTCCCCTTGCTTCTCTGGAAACCAAACCTTTGTGCTCTCCAAGCCCCCTCTGCAAGGGGTGGGGGCAAGTTGGGGCTGTGTTACGAAACATGGAAGAGAAAAATGAACAGCAGAACAGAGAAAGGAATACAGGCATCCAGAGACCTGAGCCCAAAGGCTGGGCACTTTGGCCATTCTAGGTCTACAGCTGATGAATCACCCATGATATGTTTTACAGTAGAAAACCTTCAGCAACAAAGAGGCACGGATGACCAACACAAAAGCTTAAAATCATTGTGATATGTCAGTCATGGTGGTGCACGTCTAAAACCTTAGCACTGGAGTGGCCAGCGCAGGAGAATTGTACCAAAGGTCTGGGCAAGCCTGGGCTGCATATGAAATCCTATCTCAAGTAAATAATCATTGTGTTGAATGAAAGAGGCCAGATACTAATAGAGCTCATCCTATGTGCTTCCATCTCCATGGAGTTCTACAAAAGGCAGGACAAATACAAATGACAGCAGATCAGTGCTTGCTAGACCTAGGTGCTGGGGAAAGAGTGAATACAAAGGGGCAGGAGGCGCCAGCTGTATGGTGCACATCTTTAATCTCAGCGCTGAGGAGGCAGAGGCAGGCAGGTCTCTGAGTCTGAGGCCAGCCTGATCTACAGAGTGAGCTCCAGGACAACCAGTGCTACACAGAGACACTGTCTCGAAAAACTGAAGTGGGAGGGGTTAGAAGGGGCCCTCCAAGAATGATGGGTCAGGGAGAGTAGCTACATGTGTTTGCCAGAAGTCATCCAATTGTCAAAAGTGGAAACTTGAAAAAAAGTGAATTCCACCTCAAGTTGGTTTGATTGGGGGAAAAAGTCAGAGGTGCAGCTTACCTGGTGGGGTGCCCCCAGCATGCATAACACCTGGGCCTTGATCTCCATCTCTGCATTAACCGCACTTGGTGCTACAAGTCTCTAATCCCAGCACTTGGAAAGTGGAGGCAGCAGGATTTAAAACTCAAGGTCATTCCCCACTACATGGCAAGTGCAAGGTCAGCCTGGAATACGTGAGAGGAGAGGCAAGCGGCCCTGTGCTGCCTGCGGCTGCAGAGGACCACAGCCTTGAGAACTGATGAAGAGATGAGCCTCTTGAGCAAGTGCTTAGTGGGGGTAGAGGGGCCTATGACAGCCAGAAGCCCCTTTACTACTTGACAGAAGAGGTCTGTGGAGAATGATCCAGAAAGAACGGAGATGGACTAGAGACCATAATGCCTTGGGCACTGAGGGACAGGCGCCAGCCCAGTCATGGTTGACAGCGGGAGGGAAGAGGTCTGGAAAATCCAGACAATGGAAGAAGCCAGGCCTGGGGCCATGGCTGGTACCCAGCCTTCTCCATAGACCTCCCTTGACTGTTAGATCAAGAGCTCTGTTCCAACAACCATAGGGGGCTGTTGGGTGTTGGGGTGACTCCCCGAAGACAGCAGGACAGGCCCATATGGTGTGGTAGTTACACTGCCAGGAATAAGCTTTTGGGACCCTGAGTAGGTAAGGAGACAAATTGGAGTAAATGCTACCCACCCCTTTACGGGCTCAGGCTGCCCTCCAGGCCTGGGCAGTGGCTTCAGGATGGGCGCTGACCCCCTCCATACTCACACAGCAGCTAAATTTAGCCAAGCAGGGGAGGCTGTCCTGGGACCCAGTCCTTGGCAGCAAGGCCATGTCTCCCTACAAGGCCCGGCCCAGAACTGGAGCTGGCCACCCAGCCTTTGGGCTTATAAGGCAGGCCTGGCAGACCTCAAGTGCTGGAGTCTTTGGGTGGGACCTGGGCCAAACCCTTAGACTTTGGGGAGCCTCTCTTCCAGCCACAAGCAAACTCGAGAACTACTTGTTCCATGACCTTTGACCATGTGTTCAACTTCCAGAGCCTTGGTTTCTGCATCTGTCTAATGGGCATTCTAATACCTACTTTAGAGAGCCATAGTAAAGAAAAGGCTGATGAACACTATTGTGTGGAATCTGACATTTGTTCTACCCACCTGTGCTAATAAAGCCTACAGCACAAAGATGTCTGTCCCTAAGAGTGAACTGTGTGTGTGTGTGTGTGTGTGTGTGTGTACGCGCGCATGTGCCTGTGGAGGCCGCTGGTCAACATGAAATGTCTTCTTCAATGGCTTTTCCACCTTATGTTTTGAAACAGGGCTTTTCATTGAACCTAGAGCTCACAGATTGGCCAATGGCAGGGATCTCCCTATCTCCACCAGTCCAGAGTTGGGTTACAGATGCATGCCGCTGAGCCTCATAAACGCTGGGGCTCCAAACTTGGGTCCTCATGCACCCACCAAGCCATCCTATAGTCTTTTGTGATTGGCTTACTTTTGCAGGGTTACTATCAAGAAGAGAAAGTTGTCTTTGGTCCCACCTTGGGTCTTCTAGTACAGTCAAATGGTCCTCTCTGCCATGTTTCCTGAGTGCTAGGGCGGACGCCAGGCTGCAGACGCAGGTCTGATGGTCTATCTAACAAGCTATAAACCTGGCTTCTTGTGGATGGGATGATAAGGGAGAGGAAGAAGGAGAATGGGAGGTGGAAGAGAGAAAGTAAGAGGGAAGAGGATGGAGAGAAAGAGGAGGAAGAAAGAGAAGAGAAGGAAAGGGGAGGAGGAAGGGGGCCATGGGGAAGGAAGATGACGAGGGTGGGAGAAGGTGGCTGTGGAATGAGGCGGCATGATGGACAATGACGCCTTCTCTTCCTGTCTTCTCTCCATCCTTTCTCTTCTCTTATCTGGGATGGCTCACTCTCAGCGCCCCTTGTTCCAACAGCTGGATATGAATCAGTTGGGAGAGGGACAGGCCCTTTTATTTGGAGTCAAGACAAGGTGAAGGAGCAGCTCTGTCTCCTTAGAAAGAAAGTGAAGGATGTGGTTCTCACCACCCCAATATGGCATCAAGCAGTTGAGTTTCTACTATAATGTCAGTGACTGTGAGTGAGTGAGTGTGTGTGAATGTGGATGAGTGTGTGAGTGTATATGTGTGTGTGAGTGTATATGTGTGAGTGTGTGCATGTGTGTGCATGTGTGTGAGTGTGTGAGTGTATATGTGTGTGAGTGTATATGTGTGTGTGTGCATGTGTGTGTGCATGTGTGTGTGTGTGTGTGTGTGAGTGTATATGTGTGAGTGTATATGTGTGAGTGTATATGTGTGTGTATATGTGTGAGTGTATATGTGTGAGTGTATATGTGTGTGAGTGTGTGCATGTGTGTGAGTGTGTGCGAGTGTATGTTTTCCATCCAAGAGGGAGGGACTGGTCCTAAGTGCTGGGAGGGACATGAGAAAGCAGATCTGCTTGCAAAGGGGTTGGGGCCCTGCCCAGGGCCCAGGGCCGTTTGCTCCTTGCTAGTCGCTCATGAGGAAGAAGACTCCTATCAGCACTCAGGCTAGGTCAGCTTGTTCTGGGGTGCAGGACAGTGAAGGCCACCAAGGCCTGTGCTTCAGGATGGTTCTTCCAGTAGACTCAGAGTGAGATTGCTCCCCTCTGAGCCTCGGGGTACAGTGTGAACCAACCTCAGATCTGGTTCTTGGGATCCGTGTGCGCAGTGTCTGGGTTACTGCTGAGGAAGGCATCGAACCTGAACCCCTAACTCAACCGTCGTTTCAAGTTGTCTGTCCCTGGGGTTTCTGGCACCCATCCTCCAAGGACTTCACTCTGTCCCACTTTGCAGGAAGCAGACTTAGAGAGGCCAGACAATGTCCCAAAGCCCTCAGCAAGTGGCAACACTGCATAATCTCAAGCTTTCCCAGCTGGGTCTTGGGACTCCCTAGGGATATGTGACCCTAGTCTTATCTGGATATTTATCTCCCTGCTCCTTCCGGCGTCAGGGATGGGATGGGATGGTGTCAGGAGGTTCCGTCAAGCAGGTATCAAGCAGGAGGGAGAGCAAGGCTGTGGATGGAGAAGCCAGCCTGACGCTTGGATTTGAAGGGACTGGTAGGCATGAGGTGTCCAAGGGCAGCTCTAGGCTACAACACTTGGCATCTGCTTCTGTCCATTTCTCTACAGGTCCCCAGAGTTGCCTCCTCTGAAACTGAGACTGTGAGGGTGGGATAGAGGTAGGGCTCTGAGGGGTTTCATCTCAAGCCCTGGCTAGACACCCCAGTTCTGTCCTGTCAGGTTCCTGGAATGGGGGTAGCCAGTAGCTTTATCTCTGCCCCTGTGACTGGAGGCCATGGTGGTTTCCGGCCAGCAGCTCCTGTTTCCGGAGGCCCAGCAGAGCCCAGGCGGAGCCTAGAGGAGCAGTGGGCTGGGCCTGGGTGGCCCCACTGGCTCCGCCTCTGTCTATCTTTGGGAATTTATTTCACGGGCACCACTGGCTGGGTACACCATTGCCTGCCAGCAGCCAAAAGCTGTTCTGATCACCCAGGTTTCCCTCCCAACCCAGAGCCTCCAACTAACCCGGCCTCCCGGCCTCCAGCCCCACCTGGCCTGCTCCGCTCTTACGGGGCTCGGAAGCCTCCAGTCACTGCACTGCTACAGTTGTAGATGTAGATGCTGGCCCACCCTTGGCCACAGAGGCCTTGCGGGGCTCATTTCTGAGCCCCTCCTGGCCCACCATGGCTTGGCGGCTGCAGGACGAGCTGTCAGCCTTCTTCTTTGAATATGATACTCCCCGGATGGTGCTGGTGCGGAACAAGAAGGTGGGAGTCATTTTCCGTCTGATCCAGTTGGTGGTTCTGGTCTACGTCATTGGGTGAGTCGAAGTCCCCTCCTCACCACCTTTGGGCTCCAATTTTCTACATGGGTCAGTCCTCTGAGTTCTGGGGTACTGAGGAGCCCCTGTCCCTCTATGCTCTGGAAAGCCCTCCTAGTGAGCCTTCGTGCTATTAAGAAGGAAGAGGCCCCGTTAACCCACTGTGAAGATGGAGACACCAAGGCAGCATGGGACACAGTGCTATGGGTGAACAAGAAAGAACACTATTGTGGGTCCTAAGGAAGTGACCTTGTGAGTCAGTGGTGCTCACTCAAGAGTGCCTTCACCTCTGGCTTCCCACATGCAGCTACTGAGACAAAGCAACACCCCATTTTACTAGCCAGAAGACAGGCTCTACTCCAGCCTCTCCAGTCTGAAAGAAGGACAGCCTGGGGTATCTGGACCCTGGCAGCTGAAAGCCCTTGGGTTCTGAACACTCATTATCTAGATGGAGGCATGAAGCAGGAAAGAGTCCCCATCCCCAAGGGTGACATCTCCTTTCTCCGAGGCACAGGTCTCCTTCAGCCAACTGGCTAGCCTGGGAACCATGCAAAGGCCATATCTTAAAGCTCAGTCTGGTTTTCCTGGAAGCTAACAGGCCAGGCAGGATCTTGCATGTGCATGTATGTTGTGTGGGCTAACATGGTGTCATGTGAATTTACCTGTGTCCTTCCTGTGTCCTATATATGTATCTATTGCTGGATGTCCGTCTATTTGTTTGCTGGACACACAGCATATGGCTGTGTGTGTCTGCCTGGGTCTGGGGTAGCTGGGTGCCTGGCGTGTCACAAGTAAGGAGCTGTTTACTCACAGTCATGCTGAAAACAGCTCCTAGGTGCCCTGGAGTCACCGAAAGAGATGGTCCTGAGGGGAGCCAGCACTCTGGCCCAGCTGTGCTGTGTGGTTCTGAAGGTACATTCTCGTTTGGGGGACTTGTCCCCTAAGATTTGGAGCTGATCAGATGCAGCCAAGGCCAGGCCCCTTGTGCTGCCTTTCAAGCCCTGGCTCCCTTACTCAGAAATCAATTTGCGCTTAGGAGGAAAACTAGGGCCCAGAGGGGAGCCCTGGAATTTCCGGATCACAAGGCAAATCAGCCCTATGCCTTCACTCTGCTTCTCACCCCCAAAAGGTTTCTTCATGGGCAGCAATGGCCACATGCTGAGCACGAGGGGACCTTAAGAGCCCACTGAGGAGCTACAACACAACCGAGTTGTAGTTCCTTCAGGAAAGGAGAAGACACTACTCAGACTTAGGCTGTTTCTCACACAGGGAGGCCAAAAAGATGGCGCCTACTGTGTCTTCAGAACGATGGTTGTGAGCAGTTCCCTGTTTTCACGCAGTCTACCCACCCCAGCCCTACTGCAGAATGAGTCTCAACTGCCCCAGCCCTAATATATACCTCCCATGACAGGAACCTCACCTCTTCCCTCACCGCTTTCCTTTCTTCTGGCCCAGAATAGTACATCAGTTTCAAATGCTGGTGTGAGGGTGAGGGCATCAGAGGTGAGGGATGTAACTAGTCTCACCAAAATGCCCAAATAATACAACAGAGCCAAAGGCAAGGTCTTCAGGTCCCCAAACCCAGGCTTTCCTGCTCACTGGGGGCTCTCATTAGCTCAAGCTGTGGCTCCTACTGTCTCTGTTGCCCCCATCTGGTCACTGTCTGATGCTACACTGAGTCTTGTGGCTAAGGCTCCCAGAGCCTTGGCAAAGTTTCCTTCCCCATTGTCACACAGGACGGAGGTGGAAGAGGACTGTGCTCTTCCTTGTGAAGGGAAGGGCTTTGCTCTGAGGATCCTTCTCTTTCCTAGATAATTGTCCAGGTGTCTGGTCCTGTGGGTGCTGCAGAGAAGATGGGTGCAGGGACAAAGAAGTCAGTCTCTGGGCACCAGACACAGTGAAGCCACGTTGGAGATGGGCAACATGGAGATGGAACTTGACAGAAAGACAAGCATCAGAATACAGTTCTAATGGAAGAGGCCTGAGATTTAGGAAGACAGACAGACAGATGGACAGAGAAACATACAGAAAGACAGACAGTCTTGGCTGAGATGCCAAGAGCTGGAACAGCCTCAGAGGAGAGACGCTTAGGCTATGGTCTCTATTGGTCATGCTCTTCCTATCTGTCCAAGGCAAGTGAGGGAAGAAACTCTGAAAGGTGGAGCCTCTGCAGGCCCAGATTAAAGCAAGGCCACAGGTGGAATGCTCTTATTGGTGGGCTGGGCCCTGAGACAGACTTGTCTAGGCCCTCCTGCTGGAAAGCAGACAGGACATAGGGAACAAACCCTGTCGGATGAGTTTAAGTGGGCCAGACGGGCCCAGTATGGAGGTGCACATTTAACTCCAGCACTCCGGAGCAGGGGCAGGTGGATCTCTGTGAGTTTGAGGCCAGTTTGCTCTACATAATGAGTTCTAAGACTCTAAGGCAGCCAAGGGTACATGGTGAAACCCAGTCAGAAAAAAATAAATAAATAAAAATTATATATATATATATATATATATATATATATATATATATATTCCAGTTGTTTGTTTGTTTTTGAGAAAGGGTTTCTCTGTGTACGCTTGACTGTCCTGGACTTGCTTTGTAGACCAGGCTGGCCTCGAACTCACAGAGATCCAGCTGCCTCTGCCTCCCAGAGTGTGGAATTACAGGTGTGTTTTTTTGAGATAGAATCTCACTGTGTAGCCCTGACTCTTGAAGAACTCACTCTGTAGACCAGGCTGGCCTCAGTCTCACAGACACCACCTGCCTCTGCCTCCCAAAGGCTGGGACTAAGGGTGTGTGCCATCATGCCTTGCTCCAGTCACATGTTTTGTTCGGTGCCTGGAACTTGCATGATACTGACTTCAAATACCACGATATCCTCTCTTCTAATTAACTTGTCTTTCACTTATTTGAGGATAGGGATCAGACACAGGGCCTTGAGCTTGCTAAGCACATGCTCTACCACTGAGTTATTCCTTAGTCTTAGTTATTAAAAAAAAAAAATTACACACACACACACACACCCCACAATTTACCTGTAATCACAGCACTCAAAACCCTGAGGCAACCATATCACGATATCAAGGTTAGCCTGGACTACATGGTGAAATCCAAACCATTTTGGAGTATAGGATGATATTGTCTCAAAACAAACAAAACCTTACAAGTCCTTGGTCCTTATTATTTACAAAATTGTATAATTATCACTTCTAGTTACACTTCCATCACTCTTAAAAAGAAACATTGTACCCTTTGTAATTGTAATCAGGCCTCTTTGTCCTCGCAGCTTGCTTTGCCTATTCTGGGCCTTTCCTATAAATAGAAGCACACACCACGTGCCTTTTCCTATCTGGCTTCTTTTACTTGCCATATTGGTTGTAAAGTGTACCAGTAAAGTGTACCCAGTGCTTTTTATAGCTAGATAATATTCCATGTGTTGATTTATCATGTTTTGTTTATTAGAGTATTAGTGGTTAGACATCTTACGTTGTTTCTACTTTTTGGCTTCTATAAGCAACGCTGCCTTGAGTATTTGTGAAATCAGTATTTGGTGGATTTTTTTTCTCTAAGGTATGTAACTAGTACTAGGGTTGTGTCAGGTGAAATGCTGTATTTAAATTTTTGAGGAATTATGGAGCTGTTTTCCAAACCGTCCTGTCACATTGGAGATACCTTCAAGATGTGGGTCCCCAAGCACATTACTTACCTCTTGTAGCTGTGACAAACTGACTGACAAAGGCAGCTGAAGGTGGAAGGGTTTGTTTTGGCTCATGCTTTGAGGATACAGTCTGCCATGATGGTGACAGCAGCTCTGGCAGCAGGAGCGTGGGGTGGCCATCTTCCTGAGACCATCAGGAAGCAGAGAGTGCTGACTTCCATTTGCTTTCTCCTTTGTATTCAGTTCAGCGCCCGGTGCTGTCACACCGCCTGCAGGTGGAGGCGGGAGTTCAAGATCACCCTCAGTGAGTTTGAAGTGAGCCAGGGATGTTTGAAACTTTGTCTCAAATGGATCAAACAATAGAGGCAACTTCCTCTCAAAAAAAAATTAGCTTGTTGCTTTTGATTCAGCCTCATTCAAGTTCTCAGGACAGAGGCAGAACGAGGTCAGGTTCTTTGCTAGTATATAGCATGAATGACCCAGATGGCCCAGTTCTCAAAGGAGCTTTTGTTCCCTTGTGAGACCTCATGATCTGAGCCTCCACTGGCTGCATTTCTCTTAGCATTCTTATTGTCTAACTTCCCACCAGAATGGCCTATTAAGCTCTGCTTGCAGCATGCAAGGACTTCTGTAGTCCACAGTTCCAAACACTTCCAGAGACCAGTTTCAAAGGTATGAGTGTGTATGATCAGGCCCATCAAAGCAATAGCTCCCACCCCTCAGCACCCGGATCTGTACTAGGAGGGTCCTTCGCAGGAACTGCGCTGACAGAATGTATGTGTGGCACAGAAGAGGAGTCACTAGATTGACCATACAAAAGACATAGGCCAGGACTCTTAACAATGGCTGCCTGAGAGGCTGTGAGCCTGGGAGCTGACAGTCCATGAAGCTGGAGAGCTCAGAGGTCCCCGTACAGCACTGGAGGCCTGGAAGATTCCTGGAGAGTCATTAGTCCTTGCTGCACATTGGAAGACCAAAGAAGCTGGGCTCTGCAGTCAGTGGAGGATGCCACTGCAGCAGACACACACTCCAGGAGGAGCTGAGGGCAGGACAGCCACACTGTTTTGTCTCTGACTCCGAAGGCGCTGCTCACTCTCAGTTACCTTTCCCTCTCGGCTAATCCTCTGTGGGCATGTCCTGAGATGAGCCTCCTTGTGACTCTGGATACAATCAAGCTGACAATATTAACCAGCACACAAGCAACCAGAGATGCAGACATCTGTACAGGCTCCATGAGGGCAGGCTCTTGGATTTTGCTCACTTCTGTGGTTTTAGTGTCAAGAACTATCCTCTCCCAGAACATGGGCTTGATACATACATGTTTGTCGAACAACTAACTCGTTGTAGGAGCGAGCCACAGATGTGCAGGCAGACCCCGAGACAAGGCTACATGTGAGAGCTCTCAGAGCCCTGCCCTGGGCTGACAACGGAGACCAAGGGAGTGGAAAGGGTTTGATGAGAGATTTTCATGTGTCTACTCACAGCAGGCACTTTGCTAATTTACTAAGAGAGAGCTCATGGAGCTATCTCCAGGTGATTACCAAGATGCTGTCGTCTGTGTGCCCAGCCTGAGTGCACAGCCTCGTTAAGGATTTGCTGGGTGAGCAGTACCTTCGGGGCAGGAGCAGCCTCTGTTTTCCTGACAGTCAGGACTCACAGACTTTAGCCTCTAGCCTGAAGTCATACATCTGGCAAAAGGCAGGTCTAGTACTTAAACATGGGCCACTTCATGTGTGTCCTCCTCCCAGGGATTATTAGAGAAGGGAGCCCCAGCAGAGGTAGAGAGACCAGCAAGGGGCATTCCTGGAAGGGGGAGAGGGGCTTCTGAAGACATCAGTGTCTTTGACCTCGGACCTCTTTGATGGCATTCCCAGGGTGGTAACCATAAGGCCAGGCTAAGGCATGGCTTTGGGGAAGATGGCTGAGCAGTCAAGAGCGTGTACCACTCTTGCAGAGAATCTGAGTTCCTTTCCCAGCTCCTACACAAGCCAGGCAACTCACACTCACCTCTAATTCTGGCTCCACAGGATTCAATGCCTTCTCTTGGTCTTCATGGTTATCATAGTTACTGTTCAAACACACACACACACACACACACACACACACACACACACACACACACACACACATACACATACACACAGAGAGAGAGAGAGAGAGACAGAGAGACAGAGAGAGACAGAGACAGAGACAGAGACGTAGAAATGAAAAAATTTAAAAAGGCCTAGCTTTGGAATAGCAGAACCAGGACCTTTGTTAGGTCTCACCTGTTGCTATTTTCAGCCTGCAGGGGGCAGCAGTGACCACATGTAGGCTTGGAAGAGGGCTAAATTCCAATGTAAGGTTCCAGTGCAGGCTTCAGAAGGGAGGGGATTAAAATAGCGACAAGACAGTGGTCCAGCTGCTTCCCTGAAGCCCAGGACAGGGGAATGACAATGACTTGTAACTGAGGCTTGGAGAATCCCCAGAGCAGATGACTCTGAGCTCTTTGTCTAGGTAAGGTAAAGGATGGAGGGAGCACAGCGCACACCTAGTCTTCTTCCTGCAGAGGGTCATGTACAATGAGCAACACACCCTGAATCTACACGGTCTCTTCTAAAGGAAGTGGCTGTCCATGGAGAGAAGTGAGATACAACACTCCCAGTGTAAGCAACAGAAATGAAACCTAAGTTAGTTCACACAACAGAAGAGACTTCATTGGCTCATATCCGGAAAGTTGTATTTTTCCAGCAACATGGTCAGGAGTCTGGTCATCTCCATTTCCTGGTTCCATCCTTGGGCTGGTGCTTGGGGATGGCAAAAATGGCTAACGGCAGTGCTGGTGTCACAGCTATCCTGGTTAGCCACCCAGAACAGAGAAACTTTCTTTCCTAGTATATCCCAGGGGGAGAAGAGGGGTGGGGAGGGGATCTGGTTTTGCTGCTGACACTCCTATAATGACAGACTCAAAACTTTTGCCAGAAGGGTGGGACATTGATTGGCAAGGCTTGGCCATGCTGCCATCCCTGGGAGTGAGGTCAGTCCATCTGAACCTCCTGGGTGAACCGTGAGCCAGTCACACAACAGCTTGGGGGAGGAGGCTGGATGCCGTAGGCACGATGGGGGGGGGGGGCAGGCAGCTTCATAAGAACCCAGACCTTTGCTGGGTTTCACCTGCTTCTATTTGAGTCCTTCAGGGGCAGCCCCATGTGCTGGCTTCCTTTCTCTTTTCCACTGTTACCTTCCCGCTTTCTAGGGAGTAATGACAAATAATTTACAGTTTGCTAGGTGCCAGCCAGCATCCTAAGCAACTTCTCTGCATTAACTCGCTTAACATAAACAAGTACTAATGTTCTTCCTGTTTTATAGAGGAAGAATCCAGTCCAAACCTCATGGCACTGGGGAGTAGGGCGGGGAGGCAAAGCCAGTCTCCTGGGCAGTCTTCATACTTTGCTGTCGTGTGGAAAGAAACAGGATGTTGGGAGGGAGGAGTGGGGTCAAGAGCTTGCTAGCTGGCCCTGGCAAGCAGCTCTTGGAGAAGGACTAGGAGGGATGACAGTCAGTAGGGGCATGGATTGGTTTCCTTCTTGGCACGGCTGGAGTGGTGGGAAATTAGGCACATGCCAGCAGGGGCAGCAGGCAAGGCAGCCTGGGAAACTGCTTGAAAACCAAAGAGGCTCAGAAAGTATCTGAGATGGACAAGCGGAGGTCCAGAGGATGCCAGAAAAGACAGAGCCCTCACAGTTTGCATCATTGGATGTCCTGCCCAATGTTGCACAAGAACCCTAACTCACCCATCTCCCCTGGCCCTTGGCAGGTGGGTGTTTGTCTATGAGAAGGGATACCAGACCTCAAGCGGCCTCATCAGCAGCGTGTCAGTGAAGCTCAAGGGCCTGGCTGTGACCCAGCTTCAGGGCATGGGCCCCCAGGTCTGGGACGTGGCTGACTATGTCTTCCCAGCCCAGGTGAGCTGGCTCAGGGCTTTGCCATGCTTCCTCCCATAAGCCCTGGCTCAAAGCCCCCTGGGGAAGCAGCCCAGCTCCCTGCTCTCTGGGCCCCAGTTTCCCTTACTTTGAGACTAGTCTTCATGGGATGTAGTGTCTTCTGGGTGTCAGGTGGGTTCCAGATCCCTGCTGGGGCAGTTTAGGTTCTTGTAGCTGCTCTACCAACTCTTGTCATCTCCCTGCCCTTCTTTTCCAGGGGGACAGTTCCTTTGTAGTTATGACCAACTTCATCATGACCCCTCAGCAGGCTCAAGGCCATTGTGCAGAGGTGAGGACTCCGCCCTTCTTCTGGACCACAGGGGAGATAACGTAATAGAATCCCCTTGCGCCTTGGTGGGGATGTGAAATGTTTTTATGAAGTTTTTATGCAACGTTGGACAGAGTCATACAAAATAACCTCAGCCATTGTAATGTTATTGTTGGGTACTGGACCTCTTCATTCCAACCTCCAGTCCCCTGCCAGGGGACACTGGCACTCAGCAGCTGAGCAGAAACCTAGGATAACTGTGAGAAGAGGGTGTGAACAGGACTCTCCCACAGAATATGAGGTTTTGCTCCATGTCTACACTGAGGCCCTGGGGGCAGGAAAGGATCCTCTTAGAGCTACATCACAGGGCCTGGACCAGCAGCTCTCCTCTCCCCCAGAACCCAGAAGGTGGCATATGCCAGGATGACAATGGCTGCACTCCAGGAAAAGCAGAAAGGAAAGCCCAAGGTAAGACCAGCCTCTTCCTGTCAACTCCACAGCCACCTTGCTTGTGTCTGCCTCTCTCTGTACCCCACATCCCACCAAGCTGAGACAGTTCATTCTGGCTTTCTGTTACCATGCTATGAAAGCCCAGAATGAGGTGGGAACGCAGAGGTCCCTCTCTTGCCACAGGTATCCGAACGGGCAACTGTGTGCCCTTCAATGGTACTGTGAAGACGTGTGAGATCTTTGGCTGGTGCCCCGTGGAGGTGGATGACAAGATCCCAAGGTAACTGATGTCCTTCCCTTCCAGGGGACTAGAGACAGGGTTCTGACCTCACAGACACCCGGATCTGCCAAGATTGGGTCCTATCCCACCCCTCACCCTATCCACATGGCCTAGGCCATAGAGTCTCCCTGGCCTAGTTGCCTAGAAGCCCTGCCCCATGTGCAGCGTGGCCGCTCCAGCTCCACCACAGTCGGTGCCCTCTGTAGAAGCCCTGCGCCCCACACCCTAACAAGCGGGGCATGGACGCACTCTCGGGGAGAGTCGCTGAGTGACTGCTGTTTCTCCCAGCCCTGCTCTGCTCCAAGAGGCTGAGAACTTCACCCTCTTCATCAAAAACAGCATCAGCTTTCCACGCTTCAAGGTCAACAGGTTCGTGGGAAAGGAGGGCAGAGGTGCAGGTGCCTTGAAGCAGCTGCAACTGTTCTCAACACATTGTCTCCCTCCAACTCTGCTGCTTGCTTTCTGGAGGGAGCGGCCTCAGCCAACCTCCTGGAGGGCGGACTTCTCTGGAGGAGTGATATTCTAGAGTTCCTGAGGGTTCCAAGTGCTGGGAGTGGAGTGAGCGCCCTCCCAGCTGGCACATGGCTGCTACCCATGCCTTCCACACAGGCGCAACCTGGTGGAGGAGGTGAATGGCACCTATATGAAGAAGTGCCTCTATGACAAGACTCTACATCCACTATGCCCAGTCTTCAGCCTTGGCTATGTGGTGCGAGAGTCAGGCCAGGACTTCCGCAGCCTGGCTGAGAAGGTATGGATGGGATGGGGTTGCGCCAGCAAGGAGGGTACAGTTGCCCCATTCTGCCTCTCAAACCTCCCTGGCACAGGCCAAGTGTGTGTGCCCTAGTACCAGAGCCCCTGAGAGTCCTCTGCAGAGATGTGGGCAAACAGCGTCACTTGGATGTTCAAGGGTTCCTCCCTCCTCCCCTCCTCCCTCCCTCTCTCCCTCCTTCTCCTTACCCCCTCCCTCCATCACTCTCTTGCACTGATTTTTGTTGTTAGGAGTCAGGTCTCCCTGTGTAGCCTACCCTGGCCTCAAACTCCTAAGCTTCCTGTATCCGTCTACATAATGAAGAGTATAGGTGTGTGTCACTACACTCTGTTTATTTTTTAATATTTTTTCTCTGCTGAGGACGGGCCTAACACTGAGCTGTACTATGGCCTAAAACCAGTGTGCTACTTTGTTTTTCCCATGGTGAGGATGGGACTCAGGGTTTCACATGGCCCCTGGGGTCCAAGACCACAGTCCCTTTGTAAGGCAGTAAGGAGATGCAGCCTTGGTTCAGATCCCAGCCCCGATGGGTCTCAAGTTCAGCGTCTCTGAGAATCACCACTGAAGTCAGTACTCACCGTTCCTTCCCATGGGGTGCTGTGAGGACCATGCGAGCACGCCCCTGCTGGTTAGCACTTCAGCTCTGCCTGGCGAGGGTGACCCTACACCCTCTTCTTCCTGGCCTTCCTGTGCTTGCTCCTGCAGCTGCCTATGTGGGGCTGGCAGCCAGCAAGGCCCACTCATGACACCCAGTGTATGACAGAGGTCTGCAGGTATTCGCTGTCAAGAGCCGCATGGAGGTGGACGCAGCCAGTGGAGAACTGCAGGTGTTCAAGCCTTGGTTTGCTTGACCCTGTAGGGCCGTCCATGATTTACAACCCACCTGTTCTGGAACCCATGCCTGCCCTCATCCACTGAAAGTGCCTGGATCTCTGTTCCCGGCTCCCTGCTGAGCTGCTCAGCCTCCCCCCACTTCTCTGATCACCTCTCCATTCTCAGCCTAAGCCACCCACCTACCCTGTGCCATGCCTCACTTCACTTTCTGAGCTGTTTTCTTCCCAGACTTATCTTAACAGGTCACTCTAGTGCAAAGGCTGCTTGCTGTCTCCCTGTGACTTGAACCAGGAACTGAGAAACAGAGATGAGAGCCAGATGGCTCTGTCAGTCTTAGAGGAAAGACGTCAATAACAATACACAGAATACACATATGAGAAGCCAGGTGTGTTCGCAGCACACAGGAGGCAGAAGCAGGAGGATCAGGAGTTCCAGGCCACCCTTGGCTACACAGTAATATCTAGTCTCAAAAAACTAAGAAACTGGAGTGGTGGCTCAGCAGTGAAAAGCACTTGCTGTCCTTCCAGAGGGCCCAGCTTTAGATCCCACCACCCGTATCCAGCGGTTCACAGCCACCTGTAACTCCAGGTCCAGAGGACCCAATGACTTCTTCTGAGCTTTTCAAGCACGCCTACACACGGCAGACACTCACACAGATACACGCACATGTAAACTTAAACAACACACACACACAAAACACAGTTAACAACCAAGCAAGTAAAACCAAAAAGTGACAAATGGTCTAAAAGCAACCCTGGGCTTTGTTTAGAAGAGAATAACAAAGGACATATTTTAGACTGGGTCGGTGGTCAGGGGAGCCTTCAAGACAAATGGCGAGTTAATGAGGAAGAGCCAGGTTTGTGAAAGGAGAGCGGGTGCCAAAGGCCTGTGGTAGGAAGAGTTTGGTATATTCTAGAAATGATCACTCAGGATTGGGAGGTGAGAGCAGAGCGGGTGACGGACCTTCAACAGGCTCCCAGCGCCCCTTCTCAAATAAAGACCATCTCCTCTTCGCGGTGGTCACGTGGGAACGAGGTAGCCAAGTTGGTGGAGGTGCTTGGTTGAACGGCTCATAATTTGAACTTAGTTCCTGGTCCCACATGGTAGAAGGAGGGAGCCCGCTCTTGCAAATTGTCCTCTGACCTCCCCAGTTCTACTGACACAGTATGTATCTACACAGAAAATAATGTAAAACAATTTTCAAAGTAGAGCAGCCACATCTATAAGATGGTTTTTGCTGTTGGCTGATTGTTGTTTGTTTTGTTTTTTCTCATGAAAACTCGAGAAGGCGTTTTGCCAGTCTAGACAGGAGTTTTAGCATCCTGAAGCCCAGATCTTATGTGCCTGTGTCTCTGGCAGGGCGGGGTGGTTGGTATCACCATCGACTGGGAGTGTGACCTGGATTGGCACGTGCGGCACTGCAAACCCATCTACCAGTTCCATGGACTGTATGGGGAGAAAAATCTGTCTCCAGGCTTCAACTTCAGGTACCTGACAGGCCCCTGCCTAGTTCCAAAATGCCATGGTTGACAAATGGTCCCAGAGGGGACCAGAGGACCTTGGATGGCCTCTATCTTGTGTGAGTTGTCAAACAGGAAGCCAGCAAGAAACAAGACTTTAAATGCCTGAGTCCCCAGCCCTGGGTCTCCTCCCCTTGGAGGTCTGCCTGGCTGGAGTCAAAACAGGGTTAAGTTCAACTCTCTTGGAAGGAGGCCAGCGTTCTCCCTGAGTAATGACGGAGGGTCTCTTCCTCATGCTCTGACAAACAACACGTTTTTGTCCCCATCTCCTGCTGTCTGCCCACCCCCCAGGTTTGCCAGGCACTTTGTGCAGAATGGAACCAACCGCCGGCACCTCTTCAAGGTGTTTGGGATTCGCTTTGACATCCTTGTGGACGGCAAGGCAAGTGTCCCATGTGAAGAACGCTGCCAAGGCGCTTTCCTGCTTTGCATGTCTATAGTTATGGGCGATATGAAGTGGGAAGGGATGGGTGTGTTCAGATATCTGCTTCTAATAACCATGGACCTGGGTAATGGCCCCGGCTAGGCTTTAAGCCACTACCATGGCTCTTCTACCATGTCCTTGGGTCTCGGGATATGGGACTAGTGACAAGGCCCCGGTTTACTGACCAGGAGCTGGCTCTCAGGAGAGCCAGAGCCCCTGGGCCACGGGCCAGAGCCCATGGCAATAGTTTGGAGTTGAGGGAGGAGAGCTTGACCTTTTCTAACTGGCCCCCTTCTGTTGACCTTGGGCCCTGCCACCAGGCCAGGAAGTTTGACATCATCCCTACTATGACTACCATTGGCTCTGGGATTGGCATCTTCGGAGTGGTAAGTGCTGTGGACACAGGTTTGCTGTCCCGGGTTTGGCTGCTTCTCTTCTGTGTTCAGTAGCAGAACCCCTCAACATGGCCACTGCTGTCTATCAGGGCTCACCAGCCCAGACCCACAGGGTATCTAGGAAAATGGAGGCTTACAGCTAAGGCAGGAGAGAGGTAGGACGGGGCTGGCTTGGTCCCAGGCAGGGCTTGCAGCACCTTATTTTGTCTTTAGGAAACTGGGGTCTGGAATGGCAGGATTCAGCGAAGACCACAGGCAGCAGGGACCACGGCGGGACATGGAAGGCCTGTATCTGGCCCACATTCCCACCCTCCATCCTCACCTCTTTCTGTCCTCAGGCCACGGTTCTCTGTGACCTCTTATTGCTCCACATACTGCCTAAGAGGCACTACTACAAACAGAAGAAGTTCAAATATGCAGAGGACATGGGGCCTGGGGAGGTAAGTGAACCTCTGAACTTGAACAGGACCCTTCAAAGACCTCAAGCTTGCATGTCTGTGTTGGCAGGCGCTGTCCTGCAGGGCTTGGCACTGCAGGGCAGGTTTTCTGGGGTCTGACTTGCATTCCCATGTTGTACACACAGGGAGAACATGACCCAGCAGCCACCAGCTCTACTCTGGTCCTGCAGGAGAACATGAGGACCTCCTGACCTCAAGCTCTGGACTTGACTCAGTGTGTGGCTTCTGGCGAGGGCTGGTGGCTTTGAGCCAGGGCCCAGGCCGCTCCCAGGGCTCCCCTGCCAGGCAGACATCAAGATGCCCCTCATTCAGAGTGGAGACAGGCAAGGCATTGCAGTTCAGAGGTCGGGGTCCAGCTCCACACCCCCCTCCCGAGGGACGGCCCCTCCAGTTTCAACCACTCTGAGTCCACGTGGCCACGCTCCTTGCACACCTATGCCCTAGCTTTGTGCTTATGGCTCAGGCTCTCACTGTCCACCCCACAGCCTCACTTGCCAGATGTGTGCTCTTCCACACGGTAGCCACTAGCCAGATGTGACAATTTGAACTTCAACTAATTAAAATATAATGAAAAGAGGGCTTGGTTGAGCTGGTTAAGGGGGCACTTTGGGCCTGAAGCTGCCGTCCTGGACAGCACAGGGTGCTTTCCCTGTAGAAAGTTCTGAAGGAGTTCCCTGGGGAGCTCAGCAACAGTGTGGGTGCCTGGCACACACCCACCTCCTAAACCAGAAATACAGGCCACCTTGTGCCTGAGGCTTAAGAATTGCTATCCTAGAGTGCCCTGACTCTTAAGCTTCAGATCAGCCTTGGGCCAGCACCAACTGGCAGGTGTAGGTACTGAACCGGGTCTCCAAACACCCACAGCAAGTGTGTAGTGTGCTCATGGGCCACACAGGGATCCATGAGCCCCCATGTGCACAGCCCGTACACAGGCAGCCTTCCACCCCCACTGTGGGTTGGAACAGCTTGGGTACTGCCAGCTCAGCCATCATACCTACGCCCCCAGACAGGGACATGGTCTCCACAGCGTCACCCCACGGGGCGATGCTCCTTCCTGAGGGAGTCAGGCCAGACCAGCCCTTCTAGCCATGGAACCTTATTCAGCTACCTCAGGTGGGGGTAACCTGTGAATCCTGGCGCTTTGCCTGTGGCCAGTCCCAGCTTCCACAGCCGCCCAGCTTGGCTGGAACACAGGGCTGAGAAGGCAAGGGATGGGATACAATAAAAGAAATGAGGCCAAATGTCTGTCTTCTTTGCTTTCTTTTCAAGTCTGTCTGAAGTTCAGTGTGCTCAGCTGCCAGGTGCACAGCTGAGCTGCGCAGCCGAGGTCCTGTGGGGAGGCTGGTGAGGAGCGCCTGGGCCCAGGTGGGTCAGTGAGCTCCCAGCAGTCCCTGAGCCTTGTCTCTCAATAGGATAGGAACCAGCACTCTTCCCAATGCTGAGCAAGCTCTTCTCCTGGCTGTGGGGGCAGCTGAGCACACCGGAACAACCTTGGAAAACAGGTTTAAGGGCTTGTTGTCCCGGGGATTTAGGGGCCCTGACACAGAAGAAGTGAGGCTTGTGGCTGGAGAGTGGAGAAGGCTCCACGTGGGCACATTCTCCACCCTGAGCTCACAGGCCAGCCAGGGGTTCTGCGGACTGAAATCCTGCTCTGTCTAGACCAGTCTGTCCACCAGCTTCTCATAGGGATGGATCAGTACTGTCCAGTGTGGTGGCCATTTGCCAAGGGTAGCCAATGAGCACCTAGAGTCATATCACTTTTTAATTTTAAAACAGTGCCTTATTATGTGTCCTGGTTTGAAACTTATGATCCTTTTGCCTCAGCCTCTCAAATGCTAGGATCACAGATATTCAGCACCACACCCAGTTCTTGTTTACTTTTAATTCACAGAAGTGGCTAGGAGAGTAGACAGCACGGGCCAGTTGTTCTCTCAGACCTTGGCCTTCTGCCACCTTCCCCAGCTAAGAACCTCTGACCCTCCTTTTTTCCAGCCCCAAAGCCGGAGCCTCCTGTCTTTTCCTCCTGAGGGAAAGAAAAAAATATCCAACCAATTCGGATACCTCCAGCCAAGGCAGCTTCCTCTCGCTCGCTCGCCCTGTGTTTTCCTCTCCTGCCTTCTTCCCTGCTCATGTTCTCCTGCACAGCAGCCTACTCCCTCTTCATTGCCACCGTTCCAGAAAGACCAGTTTGCCCTTGTCAGAAACTTGCCTCCTCCACCCCAACCACTTCCAGATGCCCTTGCCAAGGTCACTAGCAGAGTCCTTGATGCAAAATTCGCAAGGATACTTGGGCCTGCATCTTGCTTGGCTCCCAGTATTTAGCAGTTGTTCAGAGATTCCCCATGGCAGCATCCCAGTGCAGCCTCCCCTGACTTCCTGGCAAGCATGGAGTGGAGGGGAAGACCTCCTGCAGCTCCCACAGAGCTCACTGTGTCCCCTGGCAAGCGGCTTCTCTCCAAGGCTCCTCTGTGTGTCAGGGTTACTGGCAACCTCTGCTAGGGTTGAGTTAAGAGGATCCATGAAGTGCCCAGGGCAATGCCTAGTCCATTCTACCACTCACTGTCCCTGGATATATATATTCTTCTTGATGCTACAGCCCCTGCTCCTTGGCTGGGCATGTGACTGCTTACAACAGAGGCTGCATTTCCTTGTGTGCTTTGTTGTTGCTGTTGTTCTGATTGAGCTTTTTGGCTTTGTTTTTGTTTTTGTTTTGTTTTGTTTTGAGATCGGGCTTTTCTGTGTAGCCCTGGTTGTTCTGTAGACCAGGCTGGACTTGATCTTGGAGATCTGCCTGCCTCTGCCTCCTGAGCGTTGGGATTAAAGTTGTACACCACCACTGCCCAGAGCCTTTCCATATTCCATTTCTCATGACTGGGTCTGGTTAGTGGAATGTACAGGGAACATTCCGTGGCAGTCTCTGGGCATGTTCTTTAAAAGAGTTAGTGCTGGGCTGGAGAGAAGGCTCAGTGATCAAAAGCATGTGTTCTCGCAGAGGGCCCAGGCTCAGCACCCAGTACCCACATAACGGCTCACAACCACCCACAGGCACACACAGACGCACATACACACATGCAGACAAAACATCCATCCACATCAAATAAATAACTTTAAAAAAAAAAAAGAGTTAGTGTTGATCCTTTGCAGTTTTTCTCCATCCAAAGCCTGGAATGAATATGAGCTAACTGGAGCTCCCCTATTCCGAACCGTGAGCACCAAGGCCACCTCCAGGGTTTCTGGTGCAGGGGGTGGAGGGAACCACCTCTGGAAGGTGGAGCAGAGCTACTGTATCAGCCTGGAGCTGCTTCTCATGGCACTCACTCACACGAGATTTCGCCGTTGCCTACAGCAGAATTCTGATCCTACCTGGGCAAGGACTTTGTTCCTGGTATTGTCTCAGGTGATCTGTTTGACCCTTCCCATGGCTCTACTTATGACTGTGAGTCCTGGAGGGCTCCTGAGACTGTCTCCTTGATATTGTAGTGTATCTCAGTGGTAGCACACTTGCTTAGAATGCTGGAAGCCCTGGATTCATTCTTCAAAATTGGAAAAAAAAAAAAAAAAAAAAAAAAAAAAAAAAAAGGCCCTTTGGCCCAGTTCTTTCCTGAACTCCTGCTCAATAGATCCAATCGCCCAATTGCTTGATCCAATTAGTTATTCATTCAGCAAACATATGCTGGACATCCATCAGGAGTCAAGCTGTGCTGGGTGAATCACAGCTCTTAAGAGTTCCTAGTCCAGATGGGAAAGACTCAGGTGAAGAGGTACTGAGATCTGGAAAGCGCTGAGGAAGGCCAGCTGGTCATTCTGGTATCCAGGAGGTCATAGGGAAGGCTTCCTGGCAGCAGAGGCCTTGAACTGATCCCCAAATGGGGGTTATAGTGAGGAGCGAGCTAAGAAGGGTTTGAGGGGACCTATTCTTAAGGTATTCGGGGAGCAGTGGAAGATCCTAGGACGTAGCTGTCTGGTGTTTCTGAAGCCTGCCCTGGTTGCCCCTGAAAGGCCAGTGGGCAGTGAGACTGGATGGGGGTGAACGGCCTGGAGGCGGAGGTATGACTGCGCTGGCCGAGCTCAGGGTGTGGGGTGAGGTAAGTAGACTTTAGGAACCCTTAAGAGGCAGCATGGCAGAGCCTTGTGCTGCACTGGTTGGTCAGAAAACCTGCTACACAGGTAATTCCTGGTTTTTGACTCCAGTTTGGGACAGGGACACAGGAGGAGATCAGGTTGGACTCTTCAATTTGGGTCTGGGTTTGAGGTAAGCAGTGGTGTGGGGGATCTCCAAGACGCTAGCAGGATTGAATCAAGAGTCTGTGAAAGCCAGAGTCCCCAGCACAACCACAGCCAAGGCCACTTGGTCTTGCCTGCCGGGCTCTTTTCCATTCCCTCAGCCCCAGTCGGGGGCTTGTTGCCTCCTGCTCCTCCCCAGGCCTGAGTGCCGCCCCACCCCAGCACTCTGACGAATCTCCCTCCTCCTGGCTTCCCCCCACCTCCCACCCCAAGAGAACACTCAACTCCAGGCCCTTCTCCCTCCCTCGGCCTCCGCCTAACCTCTCCTCCGCCGAGCGAGGGATGCTCCTGCCTCGACAGGCTAGGACACCGGATTGAGGACTCGGGGGTGAGGGGCGAACCGGGGGAGTACCGTACGCTTCAGGCCAGGCTGAGGGGCCCACGACGTGGCCGGAGGGATTTAGGGTTCCCCTAGCCTGCCTGTCTGCGGGCGCCGGGGGCGTGACGCGTCGGGGCCCAGCCACAGGGCCTCTCCCGAGCCGCCTCCTCCCGATCTCGCCGAGACCCGCCCCCCTCCGCCCGTGGGCGAGAGGACCTGGCTCTGATTGGACGGCGCCGCGGGGCGCTGCGCGGTGCAGCCAATGATCGCGGGCCGGCGCCGCGGCGGGCGGGGGAGCGAGCGCAGCCTGGAGCTGCGGCGCCGGCGGATTGAGCCGGGCGATCCTGGCCCGGCGAGGCGGGCAGGGCGGGGCGCGCGCGGCGGGAGCGAGCCTGGCGCCCACCGCGGAGACTGTCGCCAGGTGCCGAGGTAGGGGGCGGCGGCCGGGACGCGGGCTCGGGGAACTGGCATGCGGACGGCTGAGCCGCCCTGTGCAGCGAGCGTGCAGTAGAGGGGTGGTCTGCGAGGCCACGTCTACGTGGGCAGCCGAGACCTGGCGTGCAGCGGTCCCCGCTGTGTCTGCAGGGTCGGGTACGAGGGGGCTCCCGAGCCTATACCTCTCTAAGCCAGCTATGCGGGTGCCTGGCCACCTGCGTCTCTTCCGCAGCTGCTGTCTGCGGAACTGCATAGGAGCCCCACGCGCGGCGCCTCGGGGCCCGGCTCTTGGTGGAGGCCGTATCTATTCGGAGTGGGCCTGGACGGCTGCACCCACGTGTAGATCTCCGTGGAGCGCTGTTCCCATGCCCCTCCTGTGAGTCTTCCGTGGAGAGCTGGGGGCGGGGTGATGAATGGGACGGATGCGGTGAACGACTTCAGATGCTGCGCAGTCGTCCCCTGGCTGAGGGTGGCGGAGGCGGCGCTGCGGTTTCTGAGGCTGGTGGGCACAGGATTGGTGCTCCGAGGGTGCACACGTGCGCGGGGAGCCGAGTGTGGTGTTTGGAGGCGGTGTGCGTGCGTCACGTGGACACGAGAGTGTGCCTGTGTATGTAAGGGGTGAGTTTCAGGATGGAGCGGTGTGTGAGCATGGGTCACGAGGACATACATCTGTCAGGGAAGGGGTGCATGCAGAGTGAGCAGAGAGTTCGCTGTCACATGCCCGGGGGGTCCCAGTGAATGCCCTCTTTGCCTTGGCCAGGTTCAGGGTGTGAGACGAGCACACAGCTTGTGTCCTTGAAAATCCCAGAAGGCTGGGCCTTCTGCACATCTCTACCTCCTCCATTGAACACTGTGGGTCAGGCTGTTCTAGACCCTACTATCTGCTCTTTGTCCTCACAGCAGGAATGGGGCTTATTTTAAACCTCATCCAATTGAATTAGTTCCCTACTTAAAAGTCCTCTGGCTTTGGAGGCCTTCTGGTTTCTTCACAGAGCCTGCCCAACCCTAAACCGAGTCTGAGTCCGCTTTGGGAAGGGATTTCTCTTAGAGTCACGGGGTGAACTTCCATCTCCCTCTCTGGAATCCTGTTTAGTGGTCAAAAAAGAGCTTCAGTGTGAGTCACCTCCTCCAGGAAAACACCTCTGAGGCCAGTGTAAGTGGACCTGGGCTTCTCTCCAGATGTAGCCCTTCACCAAGGACCTGTCCCCTGGCGCCACATCTGCTTTCTGCTGGTCTTCACACAGAGCAAGCACCCTCCCACCTCACGGCACTTGTACCTGTAGGCCACCCTCAGACTAAAGATCCTCCTCCCCAGATGTCCACCCTGCTTACCGCCTTACTCCTTTCATAACTGCTCCGACCTTGCATTGAAAACAAGCGCTTCCTGCGCTCTATGAATAGTATCTCCAGCATTTTATTCCTGCTCTGTCTTCCCAGAGTATCCCACAGAACCTATCGGATGGTCATTACTAGCATTCTTATTTGTTGCTTCCTGCCTCTACCAGAAAGCAAATGGTGAGAGCCCATTGGGACTTGCCTTCTGGGTTCCCTGGTTTATCTCCTAGTACCTGTATAGCAGATACCTGATGAATAGTTGTGGCAGGAATGATTGACTCTGGATTTGTATGCCAGGAGTCAGAGTGCCTGTCTGAGGCCCTGAAGAACTAAGGGCAAACTCCAAACATATTTATATTTTAGAAATCCTCCCACTAGCAACTGGCGTTGAGGGGGCAGTGGGCTATGAATCTGGAAGTAGGGGGACCCCAGGAAGTAGTGAAAGAGCAGTGGAGATCAGAACCTATTTTAAGGGTTCAACTTAGTGAGCTCATCCAGCCAGCAGTGGGGAGATCAAAGATGCATCTCAAAGGCGGTGCTGTCTGAGCTGGTCTTCAGGCAGTGAAGCCAAGGGAGGTGTGTTCCTGGCAGAAGGCGCAGCTTGTGCAAAGGCCTGGTGACACAGCCTTCAAGTTTAGGAAGCTTGAAGTAGTGGGATGCAGCCAGAGTGGAGAACGGGTGCTGCAGGAGCTGTAGGGGGTTGAGAGAGAGGGAGAAAGGGGAAACAGTCCCTCTGGCTGTTGCCTTTCTGGTCCAGGCTCTATGGGAATTGAGGAAATGGAGTTCCCAGTTTATGATGGGGCAGAGAAGGATAAACAGTACAGAGATGCTGCTGAGTTGGATGGGTCCCTGATGGAGCTGAGCTGCCCAGGAACAGGGAGGGAAGACGGTGGAGGTTCAGAGCCACTGTAGGCACGGAGGCCTGTAGATGTCCATAGGTGGGCTGAGGGACACCTTGAGGAGAGCTGCAAAGGGGGAGGCATGGGCCCACCTGGGTGTTGGGGGATCCCCAGAGGTAGTGGGAGGGCCATTCACAGCAGGCATCCTCCAGCATGACTTGGCACCAGACTCCTGGGTCTCCCTTTAGGGGACTGAGTCATCCCAGGCAGGGGCGGGAGCTGCAGCAGGCACCACTGCCAGAGCCATTAGACCCTTGTTAGAAGTATAAACAGGCTGCAGTGAAGTGGCCCTGAGATGTCACGGCTGCCACCCCGCCACCTCCTTGCATTTGCTCCATAGCCAGTCATTTGCTGATTAGGGCTGCTCAGCCTTCCCTGGGTGGTGATTGGTCTTTGGCACAGCCTGGCTCTGGAACATTCTGAAGTCAATGGTCCCTGAAGTTCCCACAGATAGCACTGCTTGAGCCTGTGTGGGTAACATCAGGATCTTCTTGCTCTTTCCTCTTCAGGCCTCTGTGGAAGGACCTTACTGGGTAGGGCATGTCTTCGGAAGGAGGTCAGATGAAGTAGGCTTCTGAATCCAAGAGCTTGTGTATTTGGGAGTGGCAGACACTCGGAGGGTGCGGTGCAGCTTGGAGGAGAAGCCTGAGTCAGGCCGGTCTGGAGCCAGGAACCTAAAGTAGGTTGTGTTTGGTAGAATGGGGTTCACTCTGGGTTGCTTTCTGACACACACAGAGACCAGCCACACCACTACTTAGGCACAGACTGAGTCTGTGTCCATAGCTTCACCCACTTCCTCGAGGGCTCCCAGAAGGAGGGGCAGTAGCTATCTGTCTCATTCACCTATGAGAAAACTGATGTTTCAGGCTTGGTGTCCTAGTCCAGCACAGTGGTGCACGCCTTTGTCCCAGCACTCAGGAGGCAGAGGCAGGTGGATCTCTGTGAGTTCACAGCCAGCCTAGTCTACAGAGAGAGACAGTCAGGGCTACACAGAGAAAGTTTGTCTCCCAAACCTCCCAAAATAATAAAAATTAAACCAAAACCCTTAGTGTCCTAACCCAGGCAGCACCACTCCCATCTAAGAGGGCAGGATTTGAGCTTTGCTGACGATGGAGAATGTGTGGCTAGGACTGCTCTCTAGGCCAGTGGAGGAACCCCGTGCCTGCAAGAGTCTTTGCTATGCCCTGGGACTGAGCCTGGATTTCAGCCTGTCTGTCCATCTTTCTGTTTGTCCACTTCATCTATGTTCATCTGCTGAGTTGGCTTCTACAAAGCAATTTTCAAGGCTTTAGTTTGGGCAGGACTTTGAGAAGACCCATTGAGTGAGCTGCCAGGGAGGAGTGGACCCCCAGGCTATCCTTACAAACCACCACCAGTCAAAGGCTTGTGGTCAGATCACCCTGTGGGGGAAAGGCAATTTAGCCTCTGGAATCTGGCTTCCCTTTCCTGGCCACATGTATGTGCAGGTCTAAAGGGACAGAAGTACACAAGATCAGCTGGTAAAAGGAGGGGGGTCTTGTCTGCACAGATGTGCTCCTAGGTACGATACACAGCACAGGCAGGGCAGCCCCAGCCTCCTCCAGCTCTCTCCCGGGCAGACACAGACCCGCATGCCTGCAGTGCAGCCGCAGGCCAGGCACAAGGCCCTGTCTCCTGGACACTTTGGGTCTCCCCTACTGCGTCCCTCCAGCCAAGCCCTGCTTAGTCACCTGAATTTGATCCAGGCGAGAGGGAGGGATGGATGGAGAGCCTGACGTCAGCTCTCACAGCCTCCTCCCACAGCCACCCTCGCATCCATCTGGGCCCCAGCTCCTTCCATGCGGTCACAACTCACTTCTTTGGAGCTTGTTAGTAGCAAGCGCTGTTCTGTGTTCCTAACAGGCATCAGCTTCTTGACACCCCAGCACCACATGGGTGTGAGACCTGCCCCATTTCACCAGTGAGGAATAGGCAGGGAGTGGGCAGCCTGCCCCCAGCCTGGGTACAAGCTAGGCAACAGCCTTTAGAACAGGAAAGCTCCAGTATTCACTTGCTGTGTGGCCCCAGACCCATTCTTATCCCCATCTGAGGAAAGAAGGAAAGGGAGCCAAAGGAAGGTGGCCTTTTAGAAGTTGTAGTCTTAGGAAAATTATATGCAAATGTTATGGGCCAGTGAAGCCTGTGGCTGCTGTCTGCTGGGGGCTCTCAGGCCCTTGGTCTCTGCCTGAGAGCAGAGAGCAGGAACTTCTGACTCTGTCCTCCATCCCCTAATCTGATCTGCAGCTTAAGGCTGCTTGGGGTTCTCTCACTGAGGCTGCCTTCCCATCCATGTAATGGGACCAGAGCCGTAGAGATCACTATGGCGACCATTTGTATTCAGCAAATATTTACTGAGCTCTTCTGTGCCGGGCAGTGCTGAAAGACACAAGTGATTGTATGGAGACAAAGCAGACTGAAGAACTAATCTCAGCACTTTGGACCTCTGGGAAGGGCCGCCTGATAGGGAATGCAGGAGAGGTGGCAGAGGAATCAGGCTCGGGAAGGCTCTTCTCAGCCTTGCAGCTCTCTTCACCCTTCTCACCTCTTCCAGGGGGTCCTCTCAGAGCTCTAGCCTCACAAGTCCCCAAACTCTCTTCCTTTCTCCATGCCAGCAGCAGCTCCTCTCTCTCTGCTGCCTCCTGGCTCCCAGTCATTCAGCACATGTGGTCCCAGGCAGAGGCTCTGACCTTTGCCCTATCACCTCCAAGGCTGGAGGTAGACAGAGCAGCTAGGGACAGCACAGAGGGGGAGCCTGGCTTGCTTCAGAAGTGTGGTAGAGAGGCAGCAGAGGTGGCTTCCCAACTAGTGGCCAGGGCATTTCAGGCAGCCCTACCACCTTGACGATGTTCACAGGAAAGGGTGGAGAGCCAAAGGTACGATGAGCATGGCACTCATGGGGCCTGTGTTCTCTGAGTTGCAGTCAGGATAGAGGAAGTCAGCAACAGACCGGAAGGGCAGAGGTTCAAGAGTCCACTTACTTCCTTTTCTGAGAAGATACAGAGTGAGGCTCCAGGAGGGAGGGAGCACTGGGTAGGGGTGGAGCCAGAATTTGGGCTACGGAGAAGACAGTGAGTAAGTCAGGGCTGTCTGGGGCCAGTGCATAATTATGGCTGAGGTGAGGAGTGGGCATGAGGCTGGGCACTGACTTGAGATCAGCCAGGGCTACTGCTGGGGTTTTGAGTTGGTTGGGGACCTTAGACGTCGATAGGTGGAAGGTGTGTGCATGAAGTCAGACCCAGGAGCACCTCAGCCTCAGCAGAGCAGCTGTAAGGGACATTTGGTCCCATGGGCAGGCTGGAAGGAAAAACTGCACTAGTGTCTTGTGTGGCGGGCCCCAAGGTGGCACCCTCCCCTAGTGCACTCTCCCCTGGCTGGCAGCTCTACTGGGGAGGAAGGTCAAGACCAGGTCTTGCAGATAGTGAGGGGAGGTGACAGAGGTCAGAGGCCTCAGGAAATGTTCTTGCGACAGTGAGAGAGAGCGGGGTGAAGGTCTGGGTCATCCGGGAGGCATTCCTGGAGGAGGAGTCTGGCTCTGCAGTTCCAATGCCCAGGCTGCTTCTATGGGGCTGTACTGGAAGGTTCTGTCAGCTAGGGTGGTGACTGCGGAGCCACTGAGTTGCCTTCATGGTTGGGGCTGGACTGAACTGGGACTGCGTGCCTTAGCGTGGCTAGGCCTCCAGGCTTGCCCGCATCTCTCTGTCCTGACTGCAGAATCAGTTTTGATGCACTTCTCTATGTAGGCATCAGAACAGAAGTGACATGACCTGTTTTACAGGCGGGGACAAGGAGGGCTAGAGGACTGGCATGCAGCAGAGCCAAGTGAGCTACTGGGAATCCCTAGGTTTGGGTGCTAGCGAGCCAGGCCAAGGGAACAGCTGTGAGGTAGGTCTATAGCACCATGGCTATAGTGGGGGAAGGACCTAGGCCCAATCCACTTGCCTGGCCAGGAGTGACACTTTGTCCTCTCTTAGGTTCCCAAAAAGGTTACTCAGGGGATCCACTGACTGAAGTGATGGAGAGCGGCCCTGCCGTCTACTGCCAGGACCCTCGGGCAGAACTGGTAGATCGGGTAGCAGCCATTAATGTGGCTCACTTGGAAGAGGCCGATGAGAGCACAGCGCCTGCCAGGAATGGTGTGGACCCTCCGCCCCGGGCCAGAGCTGCCTCTGTGATCGCTGGCAGTGCTTCAAGACCCACACCAGTGCGGCCTAGCCTCTCAGCTAGAAAGTTCTCCCTGCAGGAGCGGCCAGCTGGAAGCTGTCTGGAGGCCCAGGGTGGGCCCTACTCTACAGGACCTGGCAGTCACATCTCTCCTCGGGCCTGGCGGAGACCCACCATCGAGTCCCACCACGTGGCCATCTCAGACACGGAGGTTGGTGGGGTGGAGTTAGGGGTTGTTCTTGGACCCATCAGGAAAGCCTGGGGTCTGCCTACAGTGCCACATACTTAGCTTTCTGGGTTTACATACCTTTGCAGCCGAGAAGCTTGCTACCTGATAGCAGGGCTTCTTCCTACCCAGGGGAGGGCTACCTGCCCTCCTCTTCCCACCCTCAGCCCAGCCGTAGGACCCTCTCTTGCTCCTAAGAAGCCTTCTTAGAGCTTTGAAGACAGATTGTGTCCATCCCTATACCTCCATCACGCCAAGCTTGAGCCGTAATCCTGCCTCCAAGAGACTGCTCTGACTTAGAAACAGCTGTGTGCTTCCAGGTTCTGGTCTTCTGTGGGCTTGGATCTGAATGCAAGCTGGAGTGACTGATGGGAGCACATCATAGCTAGGGCTTCACCCTTAGTATCTGCACATATTACTCCAGGATTCTTGTATCTCATTCATGGTGGCGATGGCTACCCTCCGGTCTTCCCAGTCCAACCTTGAAAGGCTGCTGAGAGCCTGGGATCTGGGAAGTAGGAGCCTAAGCCCTGAGCATTCTCCCAAGACGGGAGCACTGTTGCATCTGAATGAGCTGTCCTTGACGCTGCCCTCTCCCCCAGGACTGTGTGCAACTGAACCAGTACAAGCTGCAGAGTGAGATTGGCAAGGTAGGACCCTGGCAGGGTTGGGGTGGAGTGCTCCAAAGTATCTTTGAGTATCTTTCTTCCTCTCTGATGGAAATGGAGGGGGAGGGGGCAGAGCCAAGAACACCCCAGCCTGACTGGGAGACCACCAGAGGAGGGCAGAGATAATGTCTGACTTCTGACTACCAGGGTTCTTGATGGAGACTAGGGGAGACAAGAGCTGTGAGGTGGGCGTACGCGGGTCGGGGAGGTGGTTCCCAGGGCACAGGAGTTCTTTCCTCGTCTGTTGGAAGTGTGAGGCCAAGAAGCAGGTGGTAGGCAATAGGCTGAGAGTGGGATGCAGAGGACGGGCCTGTCATTTCCTGAGCCAGACCCAGAGAGAAGGAGGCTGGCTGTGTCTTGTGGGGCTGACCAGTGGCTCTCTGCAGGGTGCCTACGGTGTGGTGAGGCTGGCCTACAACGAAAGTGAAGATAGACACTATGTGAGTCTGGGGCTGGGAAGGGGTGTTGCCCAGGTCAGGCCCCAGAAGCCTGGGTAGCAGGCAGAAGTGCTGGGGAAAGGGGTAAGGGCTGCCTCTTATGGGGGTGGGGGGTTCCCGTTCCTGGGTGTGCTGAGGGAATGAGCTTCCTGTTCTTTGGGGTAGTGAGCAGGGCCTGGTGTCCTCTGGTGGGAGAACGGAGGGAAGGCCTGGACTCAGCTGCTGCATAGACACACACCTGGCCACATGCTCAGTGCTGGGGGCAGCTGCCAGTATGCCTATGTACCACAGTCCCCATGTAACCGGCCTTTTCTAGCTCCTGGTGGCTGCACACATGTGATATTAATGCTCCTTTCCCCATAGGCGATGAAAGTTCTTTCCAAAAAGAAGTTGCTGAAACAGTATGGCTTTCCTCGTATGTATACCTTGACCTTGGGAGTTCCTAGGCTGGGGGCAGAGGAGGAGGGAAGAGTCCTTAATTATTTTTGTGTAGGAGTGGGCATGGAGGGGAGGAAACAGGAGCAGTGACCTGGGGATGGACTGGAGGGAGATCTCAGCCTTGTGAGGGAGGTCTTTCTCCAGAACCAGTGCCTTGACTTGCTTTTTGGTCATAGGCCGTCCTCCCCCTAGAGGGTCCCACGCTGCCCAGGAAGGGCCAGCCAAGCAGCTGCTGCCTCTGGAGCGTGTGTACCAGGAGATTGCCATCCTAAAGAAGCTGGACCACGCGAATGTCGTCAAGCTGATTGAGGTAAGGAGTGCTGAGGCGCTGCGCTTGGTGGGTGGGAGGCCGAGTGGGTGCTCAGCCTGCCAGGGCCTAGGGATCAGCTGGGTGAGACGCTGGAGACAGAGCATCCTCGGATGGGGCTGTGGAGGTGCTGAAGCAGTCCAGTGGGGGCTGAGGGAGAGGTCAGTGATACTGAGGCCCCTCTGTGGGTGCCTGCACAGTTCCTGCTGTGTCCAGGGTGGCTGCCGGGCACAGCAGGGGTCTTGGGTTAGGAAATGACGGGCGGTCTGGGTTCCCTAACCCCATTCCTCCTCAAGCCTTGTGCCCGTGTCTGCTCCCCCTTACCAGGTCCTGGATGACCCTGCTGAGGACAATCTCTATTTGGGTGAGTCCCCCAGCTCATTCCCACAGCAGCTCATCTAGGGAGGGTTCCGAGGGTTCCCCAGACACACAGGATGTTAGGTGGCCATGATCACTTGTACTCTCACTCCTGGATTCCCTTGGGCAGCACTGAAGAGCGAGACTTAGCTTAGATTAGTCAGTAGTCAGTGACTACTCCTGGGCCGCATTCCCTGCCTCCCCATCACGCCCAGTCAGTGTGGTTCTGCGCTCAGTAAGTGCAGGAAGCTGGCTGAAACAGTGAGTTTGGAGATCCTGTCTCAGTTTTTCTCACCTATGAGAGGGATAATAGGGCTGGGAGAGTAACTCAGTGGTAGAGCACTTGCCCAGCATGCTTGGGGAACTGGGCTCAGCACCCAGCCCTTCAGAAAAGGATAGTTATAATAATAAAATAACAAAATGAGATAATGGTAGTATGTATCTCATAGGGTTGATGTCAGAAAATGTGCACATTTGTAGTTATCCTTATTAATATGGATGTTGTTATCTAACTCCTTATCCTGATTGATGCTTAGGCTTTTTGGAGATGTGGAGGTGAAGCCCTAAAGACTGCCCAGAATGTGCAAGACCCTGGGTTTCCACTCCATCACAGGAAGTAGGCAGTGCGAGAGAGCTGGGTTAGGCATCAAGAGGCAAGGGCTTAGTCAGGAGCCTTACTGGCCAGGAGCTCTCACTGAGCTCCTGAAGATGGGCCAGTCGGGCTCACAGTGAGTGTACTCCCACCTGCCCCCATGCCCTGGCTCCTCTGCAGAACAGGGAGGGACCTTGGCCCTGGCCTTCCTACAGCTTCACAACACCTTCCCTTCTCTTCTTTTCTTTCAGTGTTTGACCTCCTGAGAAAGGGGTGAGTTCCCCGGCCCAGTCAGGCAGGTCGTTTCTAATCCAGGCCTCCCTATCCTCCCCTTTGTCTCCCTGCCCAGGGGCCAGCTAGTGTAAGAGAAAGCAGAGCTGTGCACCTGCCCTTGAGAACTCTTGCCTCAGGGGTAAATAAGAGCCCTGGGGATCTATGAAGGCTCTGGGGGTTTTGAGACTGGGGAATCAGGCTGGGAAAAGGATGGGCTTTGAGCCAGACCTTGAGAAACTAGGAAGGTATTTGGATGGAAATGGGTGAAGGAATGTTTTCAGGTGAAAGTGTAGACATGGGATACAGCTCACACTGTATTTATGTCACCAGTGGTTCTCTGAGCTCTACTAACAACTGGTGGTGATGGCAGGGAAAAGCCAAGGATCAGAGTAGATAAATTGCCTGCTCAAGGTGCACAGCAAGTTGTTGATGAAGCCTGCTCTTCTAACACTGCCTGCCTTATTTGCTCTATCAGAACATTTTCAGAGCAGCTGGTATGGACTAATGGGCACAGGGCTAGGTAGACTCGAACCTCTCACTGCCCGCCTCAAATGGAGGCTGTGAACTATCCCTCTGCTGGTGTTTTCCTGAAAGACTGTTAGACAAACCAAAAACAAAACTCTGCATTCAAAACCAGAGGTTTTTAGAGGCTGAGCCTGTAGCGCTGTAGAGTGCTCACCTAGCACCACACCAGGAGTTCAGTCCCTAGCGCTTCGTAGGACCAAGATTGGAGCTAATACCTGAAATCAGGAGGTGGAGGCAGGAGAGTTAGAACTTCAGAATTTCGGGTCATCCCCAGCTGCATATTGAATTCTAGGCCAGCCTGGTCTATATGAGACCCTGTCTCAAAACGACAAAAGAAGTATGTAGTTGTTTTTGTTTGTTTGGAAACAAGATCTCAGTATGTAGACTTAACTGAACTTGAGCTCACGGGTGATCCTCCTGCATCTGCCTCTGAAGTGCTGGGATTACAGGCACTTGCTGAGATAACAGGCTATGTTTTGTTGTTGTTTTGTGTTGAGATAGGGGCTCACGATATAGCCCTGGCTGTTTAGAACTTGTGTAAATTAGGCTGGCCTCCAAATTGCAGAGATCCTCCTGCCTCTGTCTCCTGAATACTGGAGTTAAAAGTGTGCACCATCATACTAGGTTTAAAAAATTTGCTGTCCAGATCTGTAACTGATAAGCTGGAAATATATCTGCACATATATACATATATGTCTTTATCACATGCTACACATTCTGAAACATTTTATTTCATTAGAAAAAGAGAAACGGGCTGGAGAGATGGCTCAGTGGTTAAGAGCACTGGTACTCTTCCAGATGGTCCTGAGTTCAATTCCCAGTAACCACGTGGTGGTTCACAATCATCTACAATGAGATCTGGCTCCTTCTTCTGGCATGCAGGCAGAACAGTGTATACATATTAAGTAAATATATCTTTAAAAAAGAAAAGAAAACGAGAAACAGGCCCGCTTGATTGATTTCATGACTTTTGGGTGATTGATTAAATATCGGAATGAGCTAATGGCTATATTATATAAATGCAGATTTATTGGGAGGGGACATGAGAGAGAGGAAAAGCGTGCTTAGAGGAAAAGAAGGGAGAGACAGAAAAAGAGAGAGGGGAGCAGACAAAGAGACAGAGGAGGGTGGGGGAGAGGAAAGGCATAGAGGAGGAGGCAAGGACAAAAAATGGCGGGAGGAACCAAAAGGTCTGTTTTAGGTAGTGAAGGGCCCCTGGGAGAGGGGACGCCCTGCCCCGCCCCTACCTGGAAGGTTAGGGTATGCCAGCCACACCCTGTCTCAGGCAGGGACCTAACAGGGTCTGGGCCCACAGTTTTATAGCCACTGGTTTAAAAGGTTAAACTTAATTCTGCAAGAACTGCAAGCTAGTGGAAACGGAGACAAAGCTGCCTTGAAATTATGATTGAAAGGGTATGTAGATAGGTCACAACTTTTTGGCATGTGCGAGAAGCTAGTAGCTTGAGTTCCGTGAGCCAGTGAGCACCAGACTTCCCCCAGGGTGCTTGTTCCCCAGTTGCTGCAGACAGCGGTACTCCTGATCCCACTCACGGACCCCCTCCCTCCCTCCTCACAGGCCGGTCATGGAAGTGCCCTGCGACAAGCCCTTCCCGGAGGAGCAAGCTCGCCTCTACCTGCGGGATGTCATCCTGGGCCTGGAGTACTGTGAGTTAGACTGCTGACCCACGCTAAACAGCCCTGGAGTCCTCCTGTCAGTCACCGCTGGTCTACCAATCAGCTCTAGTGGAGTTGGGGGCGGGGAATTGTGGGTGTGAGCTAGAGTGGACCTCACTGGGCATGTGTTGATTTCACCACTTTGTGGCTCTGGGTGTTCTGTCCCGGTCTTTTCTGCTGCCAGGAGGTGTGGAATGGAAGAGATTTGTGTCCAGCTGCTTGGGGAAGAGTGTGTCCTGGCACGGAGCGTGTGGTGGTGGCAGTGGTGGGTTTACCTGTGAGAAGCCCTAAGGCAAATGCTTGGGGCTGCTTAGCTTCTGTGTCAGGAGTACGTTCCCTTACATTTCATTCGTTCACTTCTCTCGCTTATGTGCACCTACCTGAGGCACACAGATGATGGTCTATGACCCAGGGAGCTCTGCCCCGGAGTGGCAAATGATGCCTGCCACGGCTGGGGAGGGAGGCGCAGGGGCCAGGTCTGCTTTCCGGAAGAGGCTGGGATCAGGTCCTGAAGGAAGAGTGGGAGTTCCCCAGCTACTTTTGAGGGCTGATGGTAGGAAGCCTGTCAGGCTGAGGCAAGAGAGGCTGTAGTGTTTGAAGACTGGAGTTCAGTCTGTGTGGTGAATCCAAGTAGCGTGGCCTGGTGGCCAGTGAACAGTGGTGCTGGAACACTGTCCAGGCCACGCTGTGAAGACTGGAAACGTCTGTGAGGAAGACGTTCTGACTGAATCCTGTCAGTGTTATGAGAGCTCTGAGCAGGGGCAGACCTGACAGGATTTGCTTCTTAGAAAGCTCTGCCTGGCAGCTGTGTAGTGGCTGGACAGGGTGTGAGAGGCGGCCAGCTGGCCAAGGGCAAGCTATTTCCACAGCTCAAGTGACAGATGGTGGGGTCAGGATTAGGGCAGTGGCAATGAGATGTGAAGGAGGTGGGGTGGCCAGCATGGGGTGACTGACTGTCTGGTCTAGGAAGAGGAGGGCCCTCAGAAACCTAGCGTTCCGGCCTGGGTGGTGGAATGGGGGTGCCGCCCACCTCTCTAACATCTTATCTGGATTTGTTGTGAGTGTATTGTCCCCTCCCTAGCTGAGGTGTGACATGGGGCATCTTTATGCTGCTGAGCCTCTATAGTGTCTTCAGATTAATGTTGTCAATTAATCGTTGTACATGTAGGGAAACTGAGGCACTTAGAGGAGAGTGTTTAATACTTAGACTCCAATAAAGGCCCATAGTGTAGGAGGGATGGGTGCGTTTTATCTTTGGTCTATTGGTCTAGTCAGCGAAGGGCAGGAACAGCTCTTCCAGAGCTTGGCTCCACCCCTTCCTTTTCTGGCTCCTTCTCCTTTGCTGAGGGCCTACCATCTCCTAACCCCACTTCAGAAGCATGCTAATCTACAACCTCTCAGGTCCAGCTGATCCTAATGAAGGGCGTCTCTGGGGTGAGTGTTAGCACCAGGGAGAGGTGGATGAGGGAGTTACTTGGGCCCCAAAGACTTGTGATTCTGGTCTTGTAGAGGGACAGTAAGGGCTGGTCAGCAAGGCCCAGATGATAGAGGCCGGTGCATTAAGCTAGACATTGAGATGCACCACACACACACACACACACACACACACAGGAGAGAGAGAGCGCACGCATATGCATGCACACACTTGCATGCTCTTAACTTTGGTGTTACTATGTAGCCTAAGTGCCTCAAACTCCTTATCTACTGCAGTCTTTTAAGTACCCACTAAGGACAATGTGTGACACTCTACCCAGCTTGGACTATTTTCACCTTGAGCTTCCATGACTACTTGCTCTGAGGTGGAGTGGAGGAGGAGCTGAGGTGGTCTTGAGAATTTTTTGAAACCGGTTTTTAGGATCAGAGAACAGTAGGGAGAATTCTGGAGTTTGTTTTTCCTTTTCTTTTTTTTTGAGACGGTATTGTTAGATAGCCGAGGCTAGTCTAAAATTTGCAATCCTCCTGTGTCATCTGAGATTACAGGCGTGTATCACTCTGCCTGGCTAGCACGGGGGTGGGGGGGTCTTCTTTTGCTGGTGATGGGGGTTGTAGACAGATGTCAAATTCTGATGTAGAGATGTATATTGATACTGTTATCTTTTGGACATTTGCATGTGTACAAGGGCAAGCCTAGGGCTGAGAAAAGAATTCAAGACCATATTCCACAGTCAAGGTGCATCATTTGGGACTTCAGGGTTCGATCTGGAGGTTCTCAGTGTTCTGCGTTTTTTCTGACTTTGGCTTCGTTATACTGAAGATGTCTGGCTTCACCCCAACCCTCTTCATGCTGGTGGTACCGAGGCCCAGTGTCTTCTCTAAAACCCTGTTCCTCCAGATCCCTGGAGCTGAGGCAGTTGTGTCTGTAGCAGAGTGTATTCCCCACATGCAAAGCCTCAGTCTCAGGAGTGGGGATTCCCTTGACGAGGCTGCGTGTGGGGAAGAACTGGGAATAGGTTTGGATGGGGTTGGGCCTGCAGGCAGCACTGATGTGGGAAGAGCCTATGAAGAAATTCTCCCCCATATTTTCCTCTGACTTCCCTCCTCAGCAAGAAATGCCCTGTTTGTTGTGAAAAGAGCACTGGACTTGGAGTCCAAAGACTCCCAGGATTCCCCTCACTGCCTTCACTTGTGTAATGGAGCAGGTGACCCTGATGTCATCTTCTGAGGTTCTCTTATAACAAGAGTGGACATGGGCTGGGTGGCAACAGCCTGCTTCCTAAGCTTGGCGAAGGCAGGAGAGGTACCCTGGGCAGCGATCAGGCTTGCCCATCACCGGCTTCTCTCTGCAGTGCACTGCCAGAAGATTGTCCACAGGGACATCAAGCCATCCAATCTACTCCTCGGGGATGATGGGCATGTGAAGATCGCCGACTTCGGGGTCAGCAACCAGTTCGAAGGGAATGATGCCCAGCTGTCTAGCACTGCAGGGACACCAGCATTCATGGCCCCAGAGGCCATTTCTGTTTCTGGCCAGAGCTTCAGTGGGAAGGTGACTCCTAGGGCCTGGGCTAGGCTGAGGTTCGGGTGGAGGGGCAGAACAGCTTGCAGCGGGGGCCACTTGGCAAACTGAGGCCATTTTGTAGGCTTCTTGTAGCTAGATAATGGCATGCCTGCCTCTTCTCTGGAGCCTAACACTTACTCTGTTTCCTAGCAAATGGTTGCGGTCTCACTTGAATCTGTTACTGCTGCTTGTTCTGTGTGGGGCTCTGTGCTGGGTTTTGAAACAGGAATTGTCCCATTCATATCCTTCTGCATGGTGGTGAGGGCGGAGAGTCATGGTCAGAGGAAGGTGGAGGACCCTCCTTGGGTCTGGACATGGCAGGGTCTATATTAGGCCATGAAAAATGAGAATTTGAGCTGGCAGCAGAAATGTGCAAGAGGGCTGAGAGGCGTAGGGCTCGGTGGAGTTTAGGCTCTGGTGTGGCAAAAGATGAATGCAGCCCAACACCAAATTGTAAGCTTCCTTACAACACATAGGGAAAGAGGGAGAGAAGGGGGAGGAGGACAGGGGAGAGAGTTTGTTACTTGGTTGCACCGTTGCAGAGATGCCTGGTTTAGAGGGCTAAGCATCGGCTTTGCTGAAGTGACAGGCAGGTTTCCTAAGGGTACTGCAGCAGTGTGCATGGCGGCCCTCCTGGCCTGGAGCATGCTGCAGCATTGTGTGCTGCCATGCAGGGAAGGAGAGCAGTCGGGCAATGTGGGGCTCGGAGCTCAAGCAGGGGCATAAATTATTTCAATTCCTTATTCAAGGCTGGACACACGGATTAGTAGTAGGACATTTGCTTAGCCTGTGTGTGCTGGTTCACTCACCAACGCATTCACCAACGCTGCAAAACAAAAATCACAAAGGATTTTTTTATTTTGCTGTAATTCTAATTTTATTGGAAAGTTATAAGCACAGTATAAAGGAATACTGTGTAACATTTTTTTAAAAAATCAGTATTTTATTTTATGTTGCGAGTGTTTAGCTTGCATGTATGTCAGGGCATGGACTGTGTGTCTGGGGCCAGCAGAAGCCAGAAAGGGTGTTCAGTCCCCTGGAATTGGAGTAACAGAAAGCTGTGAGCCACCATGTGGGTGCTGGGAACTGAACCTACATCCTCTAGAAGAGCAACCAGTGCTCTTAGCCCCTGAGCCATGTAACTCTTTCCCCAGGTTCACCAGCTTTGCCACATTAGCTTTTTCATTGTCTTTATGTTTCTTCGTAGCCCTGTTACAATTTTCTGAGCCATTCAAAAGTTCACTTTGGAACAACGTGTCTGTTTGTCACATGTACTTTAGAGGCTTCGCTAAGAGCAAGGCATTCTCTTAGATAACCTCAGTACAGTGACTAAGGTCAGGAGTCTATCACTGAGGAGACTGTTCTGTAATGTATTACACTCATTTAAATTGTGAAATGGAATCGAAATGTCATCTTGCCTGGCGTTATTTATTTATTTATTTATTTGTCTGGACATCCATAAGGGTCACTTGTCATCGCTCCTTAGAGCCCTCTATTCTGGGGGAGTTCCTCTCTCCACCCTTCTTCTGGGTGGTGAGGACAGGGTGTCACATATCCCATGATGCCCTAGGACCTGATGTGTAGCTGAGAGTGACCTTGAACTTGATTCTCCAACAGCTACCTCCCAAGTGTTGGTTTACAGACATGCTGTCCTGTGTTCTCCATGCTGTTCAGCTTCTTGACCTCTCTCTGTCACTCTGACCTTGATGTTTTGAAAAGCAGCCTGATGTCCTGCAGTACACACTAGTTTGCACTTGTCTGGTGTTCCCTGGATAGGTGGTGGTGATGATGATGATGATGTGATGATGATGATTATGGTAGTGATGGGTGTTTGTGTCAGGGGCCGCACACATGAGGATCCTTTGGAGGGCCCTACCTGGGCCCGAGAGGCATTGTAGGATAAGGTGGGCAGAAACAGTTGCACAGTAGCTGAAGTGAGGCTCTCTTGAGCCCAGAGCAAAGTTCAATACATAGTGCTATTTTGGGAATAGATCTGTGTCATGGAGGCAGCAGATGACCCATGGATGAAATGAGGTTTGGAACCTGCTGAGTTAGAAATGGTGTCTTTCAGGACCTGTCCCTAGAAATTCCACAATCCCAGGAGTGTTGCAGCCCTGTTCTGGTCCACCTTAGCACAGGGCCCAGCATAGAGCAAGCCCCAAAGAGTGCTTTCTGGTTGGTGCCTGCCTGGGGAAGGAGGGTTCCTACAGAGCTCTTCCACAGCCTGGTAAAGCTGGGCAGCGGGAGGAGTGGCGGTGGTGGTCATATTTACTGACATGGGCTTGTTTCTTTCCAGGCCTTGGACGTATGGGCCACTGGGGTTACACTGTATTGCTTTGTCTATGGGAAGGTGAGTCCTGAGAGCCCTGCCAAATGACTGTGTGACTGGATCCAAGGAATCAGGAGCAGGTGACAGATGCAGGACCTTCTTTTGTGTCCCTGGACAAAATGGCTTTGGAAAAAGCCCAGGAATTCCAAGGGAGAGAGGACCCTTGTTTGTCTTTCTCCGCTTGGGAGGGGTTCATGTGCAGTCTTGGGACGGCACACGTCCAAGAGGAGGCGACATGCTGCCTCCCCCCAGCCAGAGTGAGCTCTGCCCTTCGCTCTCCTGATGCCATTTGTTCCTTCATCCACTCAATCATTGATTCAAATTGTTGGGGCCTTGGGGCCTCTAGCACTGATGTGATCAAGATTCCCGCCCACAGGTGCTTTGGTCCTGGTGACCACACTTAAGGAGACCAGGGGCAGGGGCGGCACTCAGTGGACACGTCCCCAAACGCCAGACCCTGGGAGAGTGAGAGCTTTGCTGCAGGCTGTCCTGCTGGTGGCTCACCCGCTCAGTTACATTCGATGATCCCTTGCTATGCGCCCTGAACAAGTTAGATGGGGCCCTTCCCAGCTGCCGGGATGGAGTTGGCATAAGCTGCCACCCACTGCTGGCCCCTGCAGTGTGGATCAAGGCCTGCTTCCTGTCTGTCTTTCACAGTGCCCGTTCATTGATGAGTACATCCTGGCCCTGCACAGGAAGATCAAGAATGAAGCTGTGGTGTTCCCTGAGGAGTGAGTTGTCCATGGAAGGGGCCGTGGAGGCTCCCGCCTACTCCTGGGGAGGGATTCTGAACCCTAGCAGAACATTTGCCTCTGAGGGTCCCATCTCAGCCTTCAGAGTTGCAGTGGGCGTACTGACCCCTGGGAGGGCCAGAGCAGATGGGTAGTTTTCTGTCCCTCCATCTGAGGAAAGTGGTCGGGGTTACTCCTGATCCCAAGGAGGGGAGAGAGGGGCCCTCAGTGGTGGCATCCTCATTCCTTTCCTCCCCTCTGCCTAGGCCAGAGATCAGCGAGGACCTCAAAGACCTAATCCTGAAGATGCTAGACAAGAACCCTGAGACAAGAATCGGAGTGTCGGATATTAAGGTGGGAGAAGAAGAGCCCATGGCCTGAGCAGGGTCTGTGCCCTCTTCTGGAGGGACCTACACTGGGACATGTGCTTTGGTTTGAGGCTTTGGGGTTGAGGACTCCTTCAAGGTCAATGGTAGAGGCGCCTGCCACCATTGCTGGCTCATGTCTGTATGCCTGTGTCCCTGAGCCCTCCCCATCTCCTGGGCTCTGCAGTTACACCCTTGGGTGACCAAGCATGGAGAGGAACCCCTCCCTTCAGAGGAAGAGCACTGCAGTGTGGTGGAGGTGACGGAGGAGGAGGTGAAAAACTCAGTCAAGCTCATCCCCAGCTGGACCACTGTGGTAAGAGGGTGACGAGTGGGGCCTCTCCTCTTAGAAGGGTGAGAACTGCCTGAGAACTGCTCTGCTATTGTTTTCTGAATGAACAGTGGGGCATCAGGTCAGTCAGCCAGAGTACAGGGGCCATGGAAGTTGCTGATCCCTTGGAGTCAATGGGGAAAGGTCACCTTATTCAGCCGGGAGTGGAGGGACCTGGGGTTTGGTGAGGGCCATGGCAGGAAGCAGCAGTTCTTTGCTTGCATGATTTGGTGAACTGCTGCTTTTCCCGAAGTGCTACACTGGTGCCTTGGGCATGACAGTGAAAAGCTGGGAGACGGGGCTCAAGCACGCCTAGGCTGGGACTGGCTGACCAGACCTGTTCCCCGCACTGGTCTGTGTTCCCTAGATCCTGGTCAAGTCCATGTTGAGAAAGCGCTCCTTTGGGAACCCATTTGAGCCCCAAGCACGCAGGGAAGAAAGGTCCATGTCTGCGCCAGGAAACTTGCTGATGTAAGTACAGTGGGCTGAGGCGTGGCGCTGAGGCATGTTCCCAGCTTGCACTAGTGTGGAGCTGGCCTGCGAGCCTGGGGATATACCCGGGTCTCAGAGCAGGGCTCCATTTGTTCCCCGTTCAGACCCAGCGTCCTGCACCGCCCTCCCTGGGACAGATCTCTCTGGGAACCTGCTAGGGCCTGCTCTCCCGCTGGGTCCAGCGCAGCCCTCTGGCTTCCAGTCGGCCCTTGGCAGTCGAAAGTCTGTGGACAGGCTCAGGTGTGCTCCTTTCTGAAGACTGGTGTCCCTGTAGATGGGCACTCTGACCGCTCCCTGGCCCCAGGCTGGGCCTCTAATGCCCTCCTGAGGGGCCCCTGTTTTCTATGGCCACCAGCAAGTCCATGTGGACAGGCTGGCTGACAAGGCTAGAAGAGAGGAACCCCTGTTTGCTAAGTGGTCCCTACTTGGAACCACACGTATGGAGTCACCGCTCTGTGGGAGAGGTCAAAAATCAGTTCTCTGAACATCGATTCTGACTTCCAGCTTTTTTGCTGCAGCAAAGTTCACCCGCCGGTCACAGAGTTTGTGACTATACCTTCAGAGAGAACCAGGGTACCATGGCCCCAGGGCATTTGGGCACCTCTCTGGGCTGTGAAGGGAGCTTTGGGGAGGACTCTCCTTGCCATGTGATAAAGGGGCTTTTCCAAGAAAGTGAGCATGGACACTGTGCAGGAGCCCTCAGGCCTGCCCTTACAAGGAGAGGCCACACAGTAGAGGTGGACCTGGGAGAGCTCCAGTGTCTACACATTTCCTGACTTCTCTTTGAGGTAGTTGTATCAGGGCCCTGATGCTGGGGCTGCGCCTGATGGAGGGGAGCATATAAAATTTGACAAACAAACTGGGACAGATCTGAGGGTGGAAGGGGAGTCTGTTAACGAGTATGTAGTAACAGTCTGAATCACAGTTGTTCAGAAAACTGGACCTGGCGAGCTCAGTGTTTGTGTCTGGCGCCCCCTCGTGGTACAGCGAAGCCGCCACCAGTTAACGACTGCTCTAACATCTAGGTTGTTCCCTGGAACTGGACAGCAAAAATAAGGATAAAGTACACTTTAACCTCATCAGGAACCTTGGAGCCCTTGTAGACCCAATTTTTTAAACATTTTTTGTGATAATTTTAGTCCAGTTCATTAAGACTGATCCTTTGATTGGATATTTTTAAAACAAAGGTTGGGTATGATCAGATTCAGGAATCTGTTGAATAATGGAATTCCAAGATAATGCTGTCCTGTGAACAAGGCAACGAAAATGGAATGGAAGCCTTTATGCCCAGTGGGGGCCAGTGAAGGTCAATGTGGAAGACCTTTGACCTGGCCGGTACTCATGGGATACCAGAAAGTCATCTGGGTCAGATGGTGAGAGGCTCTTGAGAGGTTTAGATTTCATCCAGAGCAGTGGGTAGCCACGAGAGGGTTTTGGGTTGAGGCTGTGGCCAGAGGAACTAGCAAAAAGGACTGCCCTGATGGAAGAGGTCCTAGAGAGGCCTGTGGGGTGTGGGAAGTTGTAGAATAGTCGTCCATATGTGAATGGGAATCCCCTGTGCACACATTTTGACTCCTGGGATCCCTGATGTTTCCTAACAGGAAAGAAGGATGTGGAGAAGGGGGCAAAAGCCCAGAGCTTCCCGGAGTCCAGGAAGATGAGGCTGCATCCTGAGTCCCCGCATGTGCCCAGGGCCATCGGCAGCATGCTCATCCTGCGCCTCCAGAGGCCCACCGCCCTCATGCAGTAGTCACCCCTGCAGGCTGCGGCCCCTCTCCTGGCCCCTCACCCATTGTGCTGCATGACCTGCGCACAGACACATCCAGGAATAGGATTGGAATGTGTACATTTGGGGTCGGGGGTCCTGGTTGATTCTCTCTATTCTGATCCATCTGTGGGGAAGCGTGGGGCCCACAGAATATTAGAGACCCTACCCAGCTGGCTGGTGAGGCCCAGGGCAGAAGGCAAGAGACCAAAATGGCAGAAGGAGGCCTGTGGGCTGCACCTCAGAGAACTCCCATAGGGCTAGGTAGCCCTGCCCGGCTGCCGCACACAAGGAGGGGCGATTACTTCACTCTGTGGAAGGCGCCGAGTGCTGGTCTACTCAGATCTCTAGCGTGGATGCTACAAAGAATGATGTGTACTTGGGAGAGGACTGATGTTGGAGATTCAGGTTCCTCTCTTGTTGTCTTTAACCTGAGGGCTGAAGTGGGAGCAGCTGTTGTGGGGAACATCTCCCTCCAGCTTTGGGTAGTTCCGGGCATGGTCTGGCAGTCACATGGACCTGACATTCATGGACTATGTTTTATACTTGGCACTAGCCAGAAAAAGGGCTGAACTGAATCCAGCTCAGAGCATAGGCCTGAGCCTAGAGCAGCGTGCCTCCCTGCCTCCCTCTTTCTCTCTCTTACGGATCTCCAGAGTGAAAGTTGCAGAAGAGACACAAGGAGAGGCACTGAGGGCTACAGACCCTCGGAACTGGGATCCAGGCTCTGGCCTTAAGCTGGCTAACCCATCCCATGCCTATGATGAAGGATAAACTGCCCAGGTGGGAGGCTCCCCCAGATGAGGGACCCTACAGGACACACACCCTGTCAGGACAGTGGCCCTGCTGCCAGTTGCTTCAGTGCAGAACATCAGACACCCCACACAGGGCAGAGCTGCATGACTGGGACGTGTATGGACAATGTCCTTGCAGGACAGATGCCAGCTCTCCAGGTTCTGTGGTCATCTGGCTATTCTAATGTTTACCGACAATGCGCATAGGGATTGGTCCCCAAAGGGAGGTCAGCAGGACTCAGGTACCCCTCTGAAAGCATTCCACAAGGACACCCCAGCTGCCCACATGGGTTTCAGAATGCAGGAGTGCTAGATTAGAAAAGAGAGTCTGGGCGGGAGCACGGAGCCCCACTGCACCTCTGGGCCCATGGGCATACATTGCTCCTTCACGTACACATGCGTGTGCGTGCCCATCTGCTGTACACAGCACACTTGCATGTCTCGTACTGGCACATGCATCTGTAATATAGTTTCTACGTCTACTTAGGCCTAGGAGCAGAAGGAAGCCCGTTGTCAATGGGCTCCCATTCCAACCCAGCTCCTTTGCACTAAGGCAGCCAGTGTAACCCAGGGCTTGAAAACAAATCACCCAACCCTATCTCTGATAATACTTTTATAGAGTGAATGTGAAGCAAGTTCAATGCCAGTCATTAAGCAGCAAGGAGTCAGGGAGCTTCATGGGTGGGGCCCGCATGGGCAAAGCTTGGAGTTGGTGGCTGGCCTCACTGTCCCCAGCAGAGCCAGGAAGGCTCACTGTCACCTGTTGCTGAGAGCTTTGGTTGGCATTGGTTTTGAATGTAGCACAAGTGAACAAACTCCATAAGAGTGTTTTAAAAATTTAACTTCTAAGGAAGTGAATTAAAAACAATAAAAAGCCCTTTGTTGAGTTAAAAAAAATGTTTGTATGTCTTCCGTATCCAGACTTTTTTTTTTTCTTGTCACAGTTGACTTGGATCAAGTTTCTGGAAGGCGCTGAGGCACTGTAGGCTCCTGTAGGTAGTGGTAGGGTAGGGTAGTGAGAGGTGGGGAACAAGGAGGAGGAAAGTGGGCCCATGAGGCTCAGGAACTCCTGACTCCTACCCAGATTAAGTCCTAGAGCCCCTACTTGGGAGAATTGGGGCTTAAGAACCAGAGGGGTGGCTATAGGGTACACTTCCTGTTTCACAGGGGTTCAGGGAAGCAAAGTTGGGGAGCCGGTATGCCCACTGCCCCATGACTTCCTAGTCTCCACACTAGTACTCTAGTTGTAGGGTTCTGCAGGGTAGTGCTATCATGTGTCATCCTTGAGGTTAGGATGCGTTGACCTTGAACACAAATCTGGCCACCTACCTGATAACCATAACACATTTGGGAGGTCATTGCAGGAAACTCGGTTTCTTTATTGGGACACTGCAAATAGCAGCAGCACTTTCATGGAGTTCTGTGACAGTAAATTAAGTCCTTGTTACCAGAGCCTGGCTTGTGATTAGTGTTCAGGAAATGAATGCCTTATGGGGAACTCTGGGGGCTTTTGCCCAGCAGGTCCTGTGTGGCTGCTGTTTGTCCAGCTGTGATCTTGCAGCTGGATGAAGCTGGAGACTAATGAGCACTGAAGACCAAGAAGATGACCAAGGTAGAGGCTGATTGGTGGTTGGTTTCTCTACCTGAGATGTGTAGACCCTTAATGTTCCTGGCTGCTTCTTGGTCACCTTCTGCACCTGCGAGGGTCAGTACCAGACCTTCTCTGAAGGGACGATGGTGGCCAAACAAGAGTGTGTCAGTACGTGTGTTTTGTTCCCATTCTCTCCTTATCCTCACAGCCCCTCAGTTTCAGTCCCTACCTCTGCCCGTGTCCTCACTAACTGCCCAGTAAGAACACCGCTCCGGTGTCCAAGGCCTGCTGCTGGCCTCTCTGGGTGCTCTGCTGCCTTAGGTTCTACCTCTCCCACCTCATTTATTCCCTCCCCACTGTGCTAGCCCACCTATCCCTCTGGGGTGCTGCCCTCCCCATGCCTCCACCTCTGTCTATCAAAGTCCATTACCCTCTCGGTCAGGGCTTATTGGGTCCTGAGAACCACCTGAGAATTACAGGTGTTTGATGTGATTTTCCTATGAATCCAGCATGTTTAGCATGAACAACTGAGGCTCAGAGAAAAGTGACTTAGAAAAGTACCAGAGCAGACCCTACATCTTTTGCCCACTAACCCCCCACCTGGGTCTTTCCAAGCTCCCAAAAGAACTGTACATGCAAAGACATCTGGGAAACCCAGAGAGAGAAACTACTATACCACATAGGAAAGCTGAGCCCCAGAAACAGTGGGTCTGGTTAAACATTTTGGAGGCAGTTAAGTGTCCTTTGGGGAGCCCTGGTACCTCAGGGGATGGGGCTGTCTACAGGCTTTGAGACCCTTTCCTGGTCTCTGTTTCCTCTTCACTCTGTCTACATGGTGGCTCAGCTGGGGGCAGGGGATGGGAGCTACTGAGGGTTCCAGCTTTCCCAGGGGAGGCCTACCTCAGGCTACAGAGTGACCTTCACTATTCACAGATGAGCACACCCAAACAGCCTTTGCCTCCTCAAGTTAAATAGACACAATCTTCTGTGGAGAGCCAGGGGTGGGTGGTGCCAAGTCCTGGGTGTCTACTGAAGACAGGGTCAGTACAGCAAGTAGCAGTCTGGCTGGACTAAGCCTCTGAGCTGTCACTGCTACTAAGTTCCAGGCTTAAATGGCCATCTCTTCCTCCCTACACACGTACTCAACTCTACCTGGTGGCCAAGGACATTCATTTCTCCAGCAGACATGAAAACAGGTCAAGTCTTGGGTCTCCACTGTTCTAAAAACCCAGTGTCCATCTGTCCATTCCTCCCCTGCCACGGTTAGTTTTAATGAACAGTGAGATTCGACATGGGAGGGGTGAGGCTCTTCTGTGTACTAAACTGACCTTAAACTTGCTCTGATCCTCTTGCCTCCACTTTTTGAGTGCTGGGATTATAGCTATGAGCTCTTGTGCTTAGTTTATTCTGTGCTGGGGATTGAGCTAGGACTTTGTGGGTGTTGAGTAAGAGCTTGGTTAATGTGTTATACACACAGCCCATGTCTTTATTTCATATTTGAAAGTCATATATATATATTTTAACTTTAAGGATTTTTTCTCTTACATGTTTTGGGGGGAGGCTATTGTTCTATAGCTCAGGTAAGTGGTTGTGAACTGCCTGATGTGGGTTCTGGAAACTGAACTTGGGTCCTTTGGAAGAGCATTATGCCCTCTTAACCACCAAGCCATCTCTCCAGCCCCCTCCACTTTATTAGTTTTCTTTTTAGACACTTGGGCTTCCTGTTAAAGCGTTACACACTTTTAACCACTGAACTATCTTCCCTTTAGTTTTTGAGTCTCCGTGAACCTGGACTTCCAGATGCCCAGGCTAGGATGGCTGGCCAGTGAGCTCTGAGGTCTGTCTGTCTCTGCCCCTCCAGCACTGGGGTTTTACATAGTCATCACTTTGCCAGGCTTTTACATGAGTGCTGAAGAATTAGGATCAGGTCCTTGCACTGGAAGAACTTTACTATAAAACTGCAACTTTTTGAAGATTATTTTTACCACCTCCTAAATTCTCTGTGGTTTCACCTCATTGAACTGCAGAGGCTGAAGAGGTGAGCTGGGTGATCAGGTAGAAAATGGTACAGGACTTTCCAGGGAGCAGCCTGGGAGCTTAATGTTTACTGCCTGATGTCCCCTGCTGGCTGTGGCTGCCCCACAGCCTCTTTGAACTGCAATTCCAAATCCCTCTGAATTGGATCCTCAAGTTGCAAGTCTCTTTTAGGAAGAAGAGAGGCCCATGTAGCTGAGTAATTAACTGCCTCTGCCTCTCCTACCTCCTACTCTATAGACCTAGAGAGATAGCATAATGGTAGGGTTCATGATTGTCATCCACGGCTGGCCACCCCGAACACAACATTTCTTTAAAATATACACTGGGGAGCCAGGAATGGTGGTACATGCCTGTAATCCCATCTCGCAGGAGGTGGAGGTAGGAGGATTAGGAGGTCAGGGTCATTCTCTGCTACAAAGTGAGCAGCAGGCCAGACAGTGCTTCATAGCAAGGGCTACTTGGCAAGATCCTGTCTCAAAGCAAGAGAATTGGGGTACTGCTCACTGGTAAAGGGTTTTCTTTTTTTAAAAATTATTTCTTTTTATTCCATGTGTATTGCATGTATGTCTGTGTAAAGTTGTCAGTTCCCCTGAAGCTGGAGTAACGAGTGTTGAGCTGCCATGTGGGTGCTGGGCCCTCTGGAAGAGCAGCTAGTGCTCTTAACCATTGAGCCATGTCTCCAGCCCAAGGGTTTCCTTAACACCCTCAAGTCTTTGGATTCTATTGTCAGTACAACAAAAGAGAAAAAAGAGAAGGAATGGAAGACAAAAGAAAATACATTTCATTCTTTCAACCCAATTTTGTACTTATGTTTGCATTACATTCAGTCAGTGGCACCCTTCTAAGGAATTCCATCTTGTTTATCCCATTGTGTAGGCCCTTTTTAAGAAAATCTTTGATGAACTACATGAATTCTGTCGGATCTTATGGCCACACATAATTAGCTCATTTAGTCCTTGTATTCTTCTCTGGAGGTGGGTGTCATTGTTCTATTTTCTGATGAAGGAACTGAGTCTTGAAGGTTAAATGGCATTCCCAAGGTCAACGGGTGTAAAAGTAACCTTTATTTACTGGAAGTAAATAAGTCTTGGAGGCTTACTGCCTCCATCTGCTAACCTAGGCCTAGTCCTGGAAACTTCCAGCTTCTATACAATTTAATTTAGGCCTAGAATGTTTTCAGCCTCTAAGACCCTTTCTAGTTCTTTCTGAACTCTGACTGGCTGATTCTATTCTGCTCTTCTGGCTCAAACTCCTCTCCAGGCTGACTGATTCAATGTCGCTTCTCTCAGCCTCTGACTGAATTGCTCTGCTTGGTCTCAAACTAATTTTGGCAATATGTTCTAATCTTCTGGGTCCTCTCATTCTCTGTCTTATTCTGTCTTCACCAGTGTCTAGCTTGTTCTCTTCAACCTCTCTCTGTAAAAACTACCTCTGAATTCCACAAACTGAACCTCCATGAACTCAACTCCACTGCACTGCCTTCAACTCACTGACTCAACAAAACTGACTGAATAGAACTGACTAGAACTCAGAGGTCTTCATGTCTCTTGTCTTCTGAAGTGCTGGGAGTAAAGGTGTGTCCCACCACACCTGGACCTAAGCTTTTTACCTGAAAGTTGTTCTCTACCAAGCTGGCCTCCAACTCAGAAATCTGCTTGCTTCTGTTTCCTGGGATTAAAGGTGTGTCTGTATGCAGCCAGATCACACAGACTTAGAAAGTCTTTGGATGTGATCTCTTGCCAGAACAGCCATGTTCTGAATTAAAATTCCTCTGGATGATTCTTGTGTTTTTCAATGTTAGAATTGTTTGTCTCTCTATGAAAAGATTTTTAGGGGCTCAGATATACTATGGTCTTGTTTATTCCTGCTTCATTGGGAGACAGGTCTAGAAAGAACCCAGAGCTAGGTAGCTCTGTGTGACATAGACACAAAATCAGGACTCACAACAGTGAAGAGGTGCCTCCTGGAAGTGTGGATAAGCCTTTCCTCTTTCCTAGGCAGACTCTTACTAGAAACATTTTTAAGAAGTCATGCTTATGAGTCTTTGATGGGTAGCGCCCCAAGAAGTGAAAATATGGAGTCTAAACTCTCCACTCTGCCCTTTGGGTAGGTCACTACCATCTTGGAGCCCCCCTCCCCTTTAAGATAGGGTCTTCTGTCGCTTAGGCTGCCTTCAAGAGAGCAATGTATTCGAGGATAATCCTCCTGCCTCTATCTCCGAAGTGCTGGGAATACAATCGCGCACCACCTTGCCTAGTTTAAATTTAGGCAGGATCTCACCTTGGGGCCCTAGATGACCCAGAACTGACTATGTAGACCAGGATGGCCCGGAACTCATAGAGATGCGCCTGCCTTTCGTTCCTGAGTGCTGGGATATAACCCTACACTGGGCCCCAGGTTAAAGTTTTGACTACACAAAATGGCTCAATTACTGGGAAACTTGACAGAGACAAGGTTTACCATGCGTACAACTTTGTAAACGTTGAGCTTGCTAAGCGATGATAGATTATAGTTCGTTTCTGGGCTCTGAAGCCCGTCCGCCTAGGCTCAGATCCAGGTAATCATTTGAACAGCCTACCTTGAGAAAACTATGCCTCAGTTCTCTCCTATACGAAACGAAAGTAATAATAACATCTTATTCAGAAAGTTGGACTGGTTCAAGCCTCGGAAGTGTTCGGCACATCGCAACTGCTCAGTATCTCCTAGGGTTGGTAGAGCCCTTTGAGGGTGTAGGTATTTTGGAACTTCAGACGAGGCCCCACCCCGAAGCCTGTTTCGTCCCGCCCCCTTCGCCGCGAAGTCCCTCCCCAAGCCGACCCCACGTCCCCGGGCCTCCAAGGGGGCGCCAGAGATAAGGCGGGCTCTCGGGGGGAGCGGACGACGCTTTAGCGCTCCGCGGCGCTCCTCTATGGTCAGCGGCGGCGGCGCTCTAGGCGGCAGGTGTGCGGGGCGGGCTTTCTGTGGTGCGGCCGGCTGGCAGCCATGGCGGCCGTTCGCGGCCTGCGGGTGTCTGTGAAGGCGGAGGCCCCGGCTGGGCCGGCTTTGGGGCTTCCGTCGCCCGAAGTGGACTCTGGCTTGGAGCGTGGCGAGCCGGAGCCCATGGAGGTGGAGGAGGGCGAGCTGGAGATCGTGCCGGTGCGGCGCTCGCTGAAGGAACTGCTCCCGGTAGGGGCGAGGGGCGGGGGCTGAGGGAGGTCGCCGGGCCGGTGCCCCCTGCGAGGCGGGCAGGCGGCGGACCGCGGCGCCGGCGCCGGCCCCGGGGCCCGGAGGGGCGCGAGCGCCGCTCGGGGACCGCGCCTGAGCCGGGGAGAGCGGAGCGAGAGAAAGGACGCCGGGGCGCCCGGAAATGGGTGCAGAGAGCGCTGGAGGAGGCGGGAGAGCTGGGGCAGAGTTGGGGACACCCCTCTCGCCGCCCCTCGGTACCGGCCGGCGGCCCGGAGAGAACGACTGTGTTAGGCTGGAGATAAAAGGGATCCGCCGGCGGGAGCAGAGTCCGGAACGGCACTGAAGGGGAAGGTTAGGCGGCGCTGGCATCCAGGTCTCCCGGTGGGTCCTGCCCCGGCGGAGTTGGTGTCTCTTAAACATGGCATTCGCCCTTCGCTTGGGAGGGCTAGACCTGTCAAACAGCAGCCACACTCGCGTGTCGGTGTTGTGGATGAGGGGCGTCACGTCCCCGCGCACCTTCACTGCACCTACTTAGTGGTGCCAGCTTTTGACACTCAGTGATACTTGATGTTTCTGTTACCACAGTGGGTATGAGGAGAGTTTTGCTTGTGGGTTTGCTAGTCACATGCCCCGTTCTTAAAGCTGGGCTGAGGCCTGGAGCTCGATTTTCACAACATGAACTTTTTTCTTCTTTAATTACTTGATAGCAGGTCTTGCTTTTGCATTTGAAGTTAGGAGTAAAGGCCAAAGTAGTGATGACAAATGACAGATGACTTTGGTAACCACGTAATGTCAACTTGGCCATTTTGTACATTATATCATCTAGTGCAGTGCAGTTGTGACTTAGGCGTTATCCATTCATTCACTTTAACATGTATGTAGCACCCCCCCCCACACACACACACACAATGTGCTGGCATAATCCTAGGTGCTTGATTAACATCAAACACCTTCTTGGAATTTGCCCTAGTATGGGACACAAGTAAATAATTTCTTTTTGTGTTAAGTGCTACGAAGAAAACATACCTTGTTAATAGGATAGAAAGTACAGTGACCAGGAGGGACGTGAAGCAGCCGGCTGTCAGAATGCATAGGGAAGCGCACCGAGATACAGTCAGCCTTAGTCCTAAACAACAAAAAGTCCTAAACCATGGCATTTGGAAGGGAGCAGTTCCTAGCCGGGACGATAGCAAGCACAAAAGTCTCAGAGATGGAAAACAAGGTTGTTTTGTTGGAGAAAAGTTGGGTTGTATTAAGCACAAAGGAGAGAGCAGAAGACAGAAAGACAGATAGCATAGAGGAAAGCAGGGCTCAGAGATTGATTGCAGGGGCCAGGGTATGGAATGCAGACTGAAGTCCTCCTTCCATCCATTTCCCCTCCTTCATTGTATTAGGCTGTGTTTTTCCCAGGAATCTAAGACTTCATGCATTTTTGTGGAGGCATTTGCTCCACCTAGTGGCCTTTCATGGACATTTATCTTGTTTGGGTTGGAGAGCTAAGTGACTGTCTTATTTTTGACATTTTTCATTAAGCTTTTAGTTATTCATTTGCGTAGATACCCTCAATCGACAGAAGTAGTTAATATTTTGAAAAGGCTTTTGTCTGGGGCCTGGAAAAGACTTCTTGCTACTGTGGAGTCACAAGGCTAGACTTCCTAATAACAAGGATTGTTAGAATGAAGAAGGATTGCTGAAAAAGAATGACTTCAAAAAGAACCAGTTGTCAGGCTGCCTTTTATCATGGATTTTTCAGTCAGGATTTCTCATCTTTCCTCTTCTGTTAGGACACAAGCAGAAGATATGAAAACAAGGCTGGAAGCTTCATCACTGGGATTGATGTTACCTCCAAGGTAAGACAGACTGATTATTTATTCAATTTGATAAGCAGGTAAAATTATTGACCTTGATCTTTAAGACTTACAGAATAGTAAATATTTTGCCTCATCTTTTTCTTTTGTTGCATATATATATCATATTATCAAATACCTATATCTGTATAGTCAAAGATGTCCTTATATGTCCTGAAGACATTCAGGCAGCATTTCTGTGTGCTTGTGTCCATGAAAAGATAATCACTATATGTAAATACCTGTGCGTAACCATTTCCAAGAAGAGTTTGCACTGTGAATGCTTATTTTAATATTTATTTAGCTGGGTGCAGTGGTGTATGCTTGTAATCCCTGCGCTCAGGGAGACAGAGGCTGGGGAATCCTGTGAGTTCGAGGCCAGCCTGGCCATAAGCGAGTCCAGGACAGCCAGCGTGGAGAAACCCTGTGTCAAAAAAACTAAATATTTATTTATTACATGTGATGTGTGTGTTTTTTGTGTAAGTGTGTGCATGTTATAGCACACATGTAGAAGTCAGAAAACAGTCTCTGGTGTTGGTTCTCACCTCCTAATATATATATATATATAAAAAATATATATATATGTATTTATATATATGTATATATATATATGTATATATATATGTATATATATATATATATATATATATTTTTTTTTTTTTTTTTTTTTTTTTTTTTGAGGCAAGATCTCTCCACATGGCCCTGGCTGTACTGGAACTCACTATGAAACCAGTCTGATCTTGACCTGACAGAGGTCCACCTGCCTCTGCCTTCTAAGTCATGGGATCAAAGGCGTGTGTCACTGCACCTGGCTATTTTTTTAGTATTACCAATAGTATTGATGTTATTTTTAGATTTATGTGTTTGAGTGATTTGCCTGCATGTGTGCAAGTGTATCACATGCTGACCGAGTGTCTGAGGAGGTCAGGAGTGGGCTTCAGAATGTTAGAACTGGAGTTTCAGAGAGTTGTGAGCTGCCCTGTGGGAACCAAACCTGGATCTCTACAAGAAAAGCCAGTACTCTTACCTGCTGAGCTGTCTCTCCATTCCCTTCTTCCCTTCTGTTTGAGGTAGCATCTCTGTCTCTGGTTATTTGACACTGTACTACATATTTTAGGCTAGCTAGCCTGCAAGATTCTGGGGATTCTCTCATCTCTGCCTCCTGTCCTCCCATTCTGCTGTAAGAGTGCGGAAGTTACAGACATGTGCCTCTGGGAATCCAAATTCAGGTTGTCAGGCTTACATGACAAACACTTTTACCCACAGTGCTGACTTGGATGTTATTTACACTCTTAGAAAAAATGTGCTTTGTTTCTACTTTTGATAAAAATGCTAAAAAGCACCTACATGTAAATAAGCCCTTAGTGTATGTCCATTTCTTATTGATTGCCAACTTAGAAAAATAGGGTTTTCTATTGTATGTATGTCTAAGCTTTGAAGCCTTACCAACTGAATTATTCTCAGCATCTGACAATATTGTCTTTTGTGAAGTGAGTGCATTGCTTTAATTCAGTTCAGATCTTTTTTTTCCTTCCTGATTTAAATGAGCACTGTTCAATTTTCAATTTCAATTATATTTTTTATTCTGTATGTGTATCAGTGTATTCTGTGCACCATGTGCGTGCCCGGTGCCTGTGGAGGTCAGAAGAAGGCATCAGATCCCCTGGAACTGGACTTACAGACTGTTGTGAGCTATACTTTGTGGGTCCTGGGAACTGAACCCAGGTCCTCTGTAAGAGCGTCTAGTGCTTTTAACTGCAGAGCCATCACTCCAGGCCCAATTTAAAATTTAAAGTATATATATCTGTATATTAGACCTTTAAAAACAAGAATTAAAAATAAATATGCCATACTTCACTTTTTATAGTTTCTCTATCTCAGTTTATGTCATATACTTAAAGGTGAAAAGAAAGAACTGAGCGTCTTCTAGTCGAGAAAATAGTACAAAGTGAAATAAATGTTCTTATTGTAATTAAAAAGAATGTGGCTTTTAACCTTGTATCATTTTCCAGTACATGAAACAGGTACCTGGGAAAAGGATTTGGCACCAAATTGTTACTAAAAGTTCTGACTAGGCGATGGGTCATTCAGCAGAGTGCTCGCCCTGGAAGCGTGAAGACTGGGTTCAGATCCCCAGCACCTATGTAAAACTATGAGTTTGCGTCTGTAATTGCAGTGCTAAGGGAGACCTGCTACCCTACCCTCAATGCACACATACTCCCGCCTACAAGGACACATGCTGAAGGCAGTAGACTGTTGTCTGTGCTGGGAAAACTTAAGTAAAGAAATTAGCATAACTATAGGACATAACCGGAGCCGCTTCCTCATGCCCACAAACTTTCTTTAGTCAGACCTGCAGTCAATATATAGTTATTGAAGGGTTCTTGAGAGCCATCAGAAAATTATAGTTGGACCTGAATTTATTTTCACTCTTGGAAGAAATTTACAAAGCCAAATGTCTTTTCAGCAAAGTGCCAATGCCCTTTGTTGCTTAAAAGTGAAAACAGGCAATTCCTCGCACATAAGGCTGGAATAGAGGAGACTATTTTCTGCTCTGATGTTATTTTTGAATGGGGGTGTGGATTTTAGGGAGTAGACCATTCAGGCAGATATAATGTGGAAGAGCACAATTGGTGTGATTACCATGCCCACAGACAATGTAAAGTGATAATGGTAGTTGTTTGGTTCTTAGAAATAGCACTGGATCAGCTCTGCCCTTAGCTAGTGGAGATATTTTCTGCACATCCTCTTCTGTCTTTTGTATCTCCATTTCTGCACTAGAAAAATTGAGAAGGTGAGGTTATTTCTTTTAACTTCTTGGCATGATTGCTGGTGATATATGAAGTATCAGGAAACTTTATAAGCAAGTATTCACTGATTTCCTACTGTGTTCTTACTGTAGTCATATGTGATAGAATGGAAATGATTTCAGCAGGGTTCCTGTAGGCTGTGCATGTGCAGTTCCCTGAAAAACACGTTCATGGCAAAGACAGGTTACTTATTTATTTTGATTAAGGTTGCATCATGCTGTTTGTGATTTAACCTTCCTCCTTTTTTTTTTTTTTTTTTTTTTTTTTTTTACCTCTTTGACTTTTTTGTACTTTCTAGGAGGCAATTGAAAAGAAGGAACAGCGAGCCAAGCGCTTCCACTTCCGAGCAGAAGTGAATCTTGCCCAGAGAAATGTAGCCTTGGACAGAGACATGATGAAGAAAGGTACAGTGTATTGGGGGAATGTGTTCACACTATTCCAAGAGTGACTTTTCTGACTGAATCACTTCATGTTTCTGTCCAATCCTCATCCAAATGCCTAAGAGGAAGGGATTCTGGTATCACCCATTGGAAGGTGACATGCTGTCAGGGGTTTCTCAGTTGGACCTAGAACAGTGGAACAAAAGGGATTGTCAGGGGAGGCTGTGCCAGAGATGAAACATGCATCCTCTGCCTCTGTGGACCTGTTCGTCATCTGCTTTCATCAAAGTGGTGTTAATTAGCTCTTCTTTGCCTTTAAGAAGAGTGGGAGTGTCCCACTGTGAAGCAGTTGGAGCACTCTTGGAGCATGTACTCTTGGAGCATGGGATTTTTATTGATAATAATACATGGTACACACAGGCTTCCCACTAATCATTTTCAAGGAGACACAAATCAACTGTAGCCTGTTTTCTTAAGAAACTTTGCTCCCTAGAACTCGTAGTGGTGCTAGGTATAACCCTGAGACTTACTCATCCTGACGAAGCAAATTACCACATTCCCAGCTTTTTTCATTTGCTTGCTTGAGGCAGCATTTCATGTAGACCAGACTGGTTTCAAACTGAAGATGATTTTGAACTCATGTTCTTCCTGCTTCTACCTCCCAAGTTTTAGAATTTCAGGGATGTACTTAGTAGTAAAACGTTTTTAAAAGGAGCCTGCATCCTTATTGTTACCCTCTCATCTAAATCCATGAATACAAAAGGCCTCTCTGTGGTGTATTTATACATGTCGGTATTTCTAAGGGGTTCAGGAAGGAGCACTCTTACTTGCATGTTGAAGCTCTGTAGTGCTGTGTGAATCTTTAGTCCTGCTTGGTTATGAGCAGAAGCTCATAAACTTCTGAGTGAGGGAAAGAGTGGCTACTGTTTGTTTGTTGGGACCTTGTTTTCTTCTTCTTCTTCTTCTTCTTCTTCTTCTTCTTCTTCTTCTTCTT